ATATTTTTAAAAAGCCTTCAAGACGTGGACTTTTAAAAAATATTTTTTAAAGGGCCTACAAGACGTGGATTTTTAAAAAATATTTTTAAAAAGCCTTCAAGACGTGGACTTTTAAAAAATATTTTTTAAAGGGCCTACAAGACGTGGATTTTTAAAAAATATTTTTAAAGAGCCTACAAGTCCCCCTTTGTAGGGGAGGTACCAGAAGAAATGATCCAATCTCTACCATCTTGTGTTGATGGAAATATTGAGATGTACCAAGTCTGAATGAAATCGGATGTTAATTTCGCGTTTTATGAGCTTCATGGATATTCAAAATTTTTACCATCTGTGGGAGAGGTACCAGAAGAAATGACCCGATCTTTACTATCTTTACGTTATGTTAATGTTGCGTATTATGATTATGATATATACAATTTTGAACCTTTGTGGAGGATATACTAGAAGTAGAGGACTGAATTATTCCGTCTTCACAGCAGATCTTGTGTTAGTAATAATAATGACGTGTGCAATTTGAAGAAAACCGGATGCTTATTTCGGATTTAATAATCGATTTTGTTTTTCAAAACTGTGATGTCCACCATTTTTATAACAGATCTTGTGTTGATAGAAATATTGAGATGTACCAAGTGTGAATGGAATCGCATGTTATTTTTGCGTTTTATGAGCTTCATGGATATTCAAAATGTTGACCCTCTTGTGGGGGTGGTATCAGAAGGAGTGGACCGTTTTATTACATATTGACACAAGAACTCGAGGAGTTACAGTTTACTAATTTTCTGATATTTCTGACTTTTTAAACACAGATATCCCTTGAGCTTTGAATAAATATTCTACAAAAATCCATGAACAAAATATTTTCATTAAATCAACAAATATTACCTTGATCGCAAAATAATAAAAATATTCCTAAAGAATTGTTTTCAATGGGTCTTAAAGAAATATACGACTATAGCCCTTTAAAAGTTTTATGCGACTGTTTTAGATTTTATACTTTTATGCCAAGAGGGCATTCTGAATTGACAAAATTTGTCAAAATAGGTCCAGCCATTCTTGAGATATAAGCATTCTAGCTAACATCCCCTTCCTTTGTATATATACCTTGTATATATTTCGCTATATATATCCGATAAATTTACTATCGGCCTCTACGTAACTGTTAGAATTGACCTGTTTGATTATTTGTGATTTCGCTGGGATTAAAAATATTCGCGGTTAAATGGAAAATTTGACTTTTATTTAACACAAATGGTATGGTCTATTTCATCCACTAAATATTACCCGATGACCATAAAAATTGGCAAACATCTGCTCAGCCCTAAGCTCTAGCCTCAAGCTAACTTCCACGTCGATTGGTCTATAGTTGAAACCTGTAGAGCAACTGCAAAATCAGGAAATTTTTCAGTTTTTGGTCCATTTCAACCACCTAAATATTATGCGATCATCTCCAAAAGCAATAGGCTTCTATTCTGGCTCTAGCCATTCTAAATTTCGTTAGTGAATTTCGATCGGGCCATAATTGCGACCTATAGAGTGATTACATATTAACATGGACAGACGGACGGACGGACATACATAACTAGATCAACTCAGCTCGGCGAGATAGGAAGATCCATATATATTTTCCTATGTGAGAAACCAATATTTCGAGGCGTTACATAATTTTTGGCCCAATCAAGCTTATAAGACCCCCAACACATAGTGTTGTAGGGTATAAAAAAATCCACGAATATATTAATTTAACAAAATTTTACCAAATTTATTCTTCCTTGTAATATCCCTCAAATCTTGATCCTTTTTAAAATATAATATTTTTCACAATTTCCCAACCTATCATAAAACTGTTATTCAATTTCTAAATTTGTTGCTATGCTCCAAGAATGCAAAGGAACAATTTTCAATAACATAAAGAACTAGGCCATATTAAAAAATTCTGAAAGCAATAATTGGCAACGATCATGCTTTGTTGCACTAACAAATCAGTAATGAATGGTTATTGATAGTGGGTCAAACCGACAGAGTACTGGGTCAATTAACATAAATATGTAGAGTTCTTTTTCTCTAGCCGTTTTTGTATTAAAAATAAAGCCGCTTAAACTCTAAGTACTTGAACAACAAAAAAACTGCATTTGTAATCCAATGCCACAAAAACTCTCATTGCGTTCGGATGGCTGGCGCTGGCTGGCAATTGAAGAGCAAATAAACCTAAAAAAAGTGGTCATTCAAAACGGCAACATAGTTGAAAAGAAAATATCAGAAAAACGCACAACTTTATTAAAGTCGATTGAAATCCATTCAAGCATTCGCATACATGATGCACTGCACCGCACAGCACTGCATTTTTAGTTGAGAGCACACTTAAGAAATGAAAGAGGAAAAAAAAATACACTGTTTTGAGTGTACCCGTCTAGTCGTCATCATCCTCGTAGTCAAAACCACCAACCAACCACAATTACCAATATGAAAATGCGCCTATTTTTTCTCAAGTAGTTTCAAGTCTAAAAAAAACAAAAAGTCAAACAGAATTCAAGCTGAAGAAACTGAGCTCCACTGCGAGTGAGTGATCTTTTTGTAGTCCAATGGAAAATCGAAAGAAAGAAGAAAAAAAAAACGAAAAACGAAGTATATAATTGTTGCTAATTGAAAGGTTGGGCAAAATAGAATTGATACAATGTGCATTTTGTTTTCTTACATTAAAAGGTGTATACATATTTGCATATTTATGTAGCAGAAATGCATTTCGGATTCATATCGGTAGGGAAAATGAGCTTTTCTATATAAAGTGTACAAAAAATGCGCCAGAGGTGTAGTAATTTTATTCCATTTTTACGATAGAAATTTTTGGGGGGTTGACCTATAAGTAATGGATATGAAAATTTTAATTCAAATCCAGTGGGTTAACCCATTTATATGTATAAGTAGTGTTAGTTCCTGTATTTATATTCCGTTTACACCCTACACCACATGGTGGTAAGGGTATTATGTCTTTGTGCATTTGTTTGTAACATGGAGAAGGAATTGAGATGGACCCATAGTTACTTTTGAGGATCTTCATAGAATCAATTTCGAGGTCTTTTTATGCATGTCAGTCCGTCCGTCCGTCTGTTATTGCATTCTTGTGGACGAAATGCAGGTCGCATTTATTACCCGATTGAGATGAAAATTTCCGAAAAGTATTTGTTTGGCCCAAGAACAAACCTTATTGAAATTGGCGAGAATCGGCTCAAATTTTGATTTAGTTCCCATATATATTTTCAATTGATTTGGGGTTGTCCACTAAATGGACAATATCAGCCTAAATGAACTGATTTTTGGCACATCCGACCGTATTCAGATTCAGATTTTCAAATTTGGTGAAAATCGGTTCAGAAAATCGGTTCATATATATGTTTCATGCGATTTGGTGTTTAAGTCCCTCACATTCGTAATATGCACTCCACAAGCATGGTATTTAGCACCAGATATCAAATTCAGCCATGAAATACCTCTGCGAAATTTTATCAAGATTGGTTCAGATTTGGATATTGCGCCCATATATATCTTCAACCGATTTCGGGTCATTGTGCACCAAATTGCCAATATCAGTCTAAATGACCTGAAATTTGGTACATCCGACCGAATTCCATGTAGAAGCAAGTACATAAAATTTGGTGAAAATCGGTTCTGATATAGCTATAGCTCCTATGTACATGGTTGCCCATATTCGACGGACCCATCTGGCAACGCCATAACTTTTGACACAGATGTTACATCGCTTAATGACATACCGCGTTTGGAGCGTCAGTCCAAGCAGATTTTTACCATGAACCAATACACGCCACGCGAGCGCTCTGAAATATTTGAAATTTACATTCAACAGAAGAAGTCATTTGTGAAAAAAATGTGAGAAGTGCGCCTTCTAAGAACACCATTAAGCGTTTATACGGAAAATTTTCGACTGGTAAGGCTCTTTCTAATCCGAAGAAGCCATATAAAAGTCAACCAAGGCGATCGGCCGAGAATATCGCTGCCGTACGAGCCAGTGTTCTCAGCAGTTGGGCATGGCTCGGTCCACTTTACAACGGATTATTCGCATTGATTTGCATTTGTTCCCGTACAAAATTCAATTGCCTACGGACAAGCCTCGTTGATTGGAATGGGCCCAAACGTCCGTGGAATATGGGCAACCCGTATATGTTTTATCCGATTTTGTGTTGAAGTACCTCACATGCGCAATATGCACTCAACAACAATAATCTTTAGTACCAGATTTCAGATACAGCTCAGAAATAAGTTTGAAACTTTGTCAAGATAGGTTCAGATTTCAATATAGCTCCCATATATATCTTATTCGATTTCAGCTTTTTTGTGCACCAAAGATCAGTCCAAATGAACTAAATTTTGGAGGTTCCCACGGAATTCAGCCTAGAAGCAAGTAATTTAAATTTTGATGAAAATCGGTTCAAATATAGCTATCGCTCCTGTATATATATGCTTCATACGACTTAGTGTTTAAGTTCCTCACATACGTAATATGCACTCCACAACAATGATATTTGATACCGGGCATCAGATATTGCTCGAAAATAACTCTGCCAAGTTTTATCGAGATCGGTTCAGGTTTCATATAGCTTCGATGTACATCGATATGATCTACTTCATATAAATAACCAATATATTCTTTTTTGTTATGGGAGCTCTACTAAATATGCCTACTGGTTTAGGGCCCGCCCAAGTTTTGACCTTTCCTTACTGGGCAATAGTGAGTCTGGGTTATGGAAAATGCCAAGCGGAATTTATTGTACTCTTTTTTAGATCAACCATTGGTACTAATTTTTGTTCAATACAACTCTACAACTCCCTTTAAAATACAAAAAATATAGCATTATTGAATAAGCCTAGCGTATCACATGTTCGTCCCCCTTTGCAGACAATGCCTCTCCCCATTTGTTGCCATAAATATGTATATATTTTCTTTTGAAATGTTTAATAACAATCAAATTTCCTTTAATTATTTCCAGGTGGTGCCTTTGAGGGTGTTATCGATGACAATGTCTCACCATTCGGCTACATGAAGGGCGAGGGCATTGATGCCGGCTATGGTGAACATGATTGGATTTGTAATAGAGATAAGGAACGCACAGATGCTATTTTCACTAAACTTGGACCCGTTGATGGCAAGATTTCTGGTCAAGGTGAGTTTTTCACATACCCATACCTTTATTGCTTTGATATTAATTATCCTTTCCTTTTTTCCTTTGCAGCTGCCAAACAAGAACTTATCAAATCGAAATTACCCAATTCAGTGCTTAGTAAAATTTGGAAACTTTCCGATGTGGATGGTGATGGTTTCCTGGATTCGGATGAATTTGCCTTGGCCTTACATTTAATCAATGTCAAACTGGAGGGTAATGAATTGCCCAATGTATTGCCCGATCATTTAGTGCCACCATCGAAACGTTGCTAATTTTTAATTGGTGTAGAATGTTGTAGAACAACAACAACAACAAAACAAACAGTAGTAGCAACAAGAACCCAACACACAACAGATCCTTACAAACACACCTACACACACATACACCCAATGTTTTCATGTTAGTTTGTTTTATTTTTATTTTATTTGTTTCTTTAATTCTAATTTAAAATCAAAACTTTCTTTTAAGTCAGAAGAAGCACAAAACAATCGCCTTTGCATGCATTTTAGTTTGTTTTGAAATCTAAAATAAATTCTATTAACTTTTTTTTTTGGCGAATATTATTATCATCTAGCATTATGTAATTGTGTACATAGCACTGTAAACTAGGGCCAAGAACATAAAAAAACCGAAATTATTGAAACAATATACATATTAAAGAAATTTATAAAAAAAATAAAATACATATGACTTTGTTTCTTTACTTTTATTTTGAAAAAAAAAAATTAAAACAATGTTTATAGCTTTCCTTTTGTGTGAGTCTTTTTTAGGGAAAATATTGAAACAAGGATTTAAATACAACTTAAATAAAGCATGAATGCCAAAAAAATCTATTGGAAAAGATATATATGAAATGAATGAAAGAAATCAATGTGGATGTATGCAAACAATGTAACATTTATACAAATATAAAAAATTCTAAATTCTAAAACAATAAAAATATTTATTCGAGTTAGACCTCTATAACGTATATCTGCTGCATAGCAATTAATAAATCCCAATAATACACATTATGTGCAATGTTTATGTTTTTCACCTTTTTCGTAATTCGTTCCTCTTTTCCCACTTCCCCACCCCCTTTTTGTTTATTCATATTATTAAACACACATTTGCTATGTTCCAGAACTGCAAGAACGTAAAAGTTTTTACTACGATAACCTATTTTTTCCTTTATGATCGTTAAAATTTTATATTCTTGCAGGTTCTGGAACAGAGCATTTATTAGTTGCTTCATTTACGCAATGTATCACGTTTTGTTTTTTTTTTTCACTTTACATTATTTTAATACAAAATAGTTTGATTTGATATAAAGTATACAGAATTTGCCTTAACATATTTAATTTCTTATATTAATTTTAGTAAAATAATTATTAAAAAAAGGAAAATTACCATCAAGAAAAGAAAAAAAAATGAATATACGAAAATAAGTGTACTATTTTTCAAAAAACATACATATATTTTTTGTAAGAATAAAATATATAAATAAAAAATAAGTTGTTTTTATAAGTTGGATTGGAAAATATTTGGCCCAAAGATTTCTAACACCACAAAATATTTGTAAGAGGCCTCACAGAGATCTCAGAGCTATGTCGATTTACTTATGTGTGTCCGTCCGTCCATATTTATTTGCAATCACACTTTTGGTGGAGATGAATGCAAAACATTTAGAGGTTGAAATAAACTTAAAAGCAAATATTGCAGCTGCTCAAGGGTCCACAATTATAGACCAAAACGACTCAGAATTTTGCTGTGGGTGAGTTTTTAGCACAGGGCAGAAGCCTACCATTTTTGTGGATCATCGGGTCAAATAGACCATAACTTTTGGGTGAATAATACCAAAAGTTAGAGCCTGCCACAAACACAAGCATTCAGAAGTAGCCAATTTATTTCTAACCTTTACTTCGATGATGATTTCGTTAACCTATATAGTTATATATCGGAGATATAACAATATATATAAACACGAATCTCAAATGCTGTTTCGAATTTCGATTTGCACATCTCGATGTGCAAATGTAGGGGAATTGTCACGAAATCTTGTGCTTCGGTCAAAACATAGATAACCCTTTTTCAAGAATGAAAGTGGCCGATGAATAAAATGCAAATACTGCTATTATTATCATAATCAAGTTAGGAAGCAGTAAATTTGATCTGGCGAACCTTTGAATATCCTCTACCATTTATAAGGAATTTGCAAATTTTTAAAAATGTTCATTGAAATATACTGCTAAAAGCATATGTGGTTTCCATAGAAAGACGTTTATACGGACGTACAACGCTAAATCGACGTAGAGTTTTATGCTCATCAAGAATGTATATACTTTGTGTGGTCTAAAGTTTTATATAAACAATTATACAGACCTAATATGGCTAACAAACGTCGGGCAATGCTTTTCAAGATATGAACCAACGTCAAGTAAAATTAGCGTGAGTGTATGTGTACACAACAGATGGCGCCACCAAGTTTATATTGGAAATTAAAGAGAAGTAGATCATACCAACTATGAATCTAAAAACAGTGCTGTATAGTGCATAATATGACTTCGATAAGGATTATATTAAAAAATATTTATTGGAGCCATAGATATACCGGACCGAGTTTCACCAAATGGTAAAATTCGGTTGAATATGAAAAAATCTATTCAATTTGGGATACTACAAATGTGGTGAGCAATGACCGTCAAATCGTATGAAGATGTATATCGAAGCTATATAAAAACCTGAACCGACCTCGATAAAATTTGGCACAGGTTTTTGAGAGCAGTATCTGATACCCGGTATATTATTGTTGTGGAGTGCATATTACGCATGTGAGGGACTTTAACACCAAATCGTATGAAACATGTATATGGGAGCTATAGATATATCTGAAGCGATTTACACCAAATTTAAAATATTGGTTTCTGGGATGAATTCGGTCAGAAGTAACAAAATTCAGTTCATTTGGACTGACATTAGCCATTTGATGCACCAAAACCCTGAAATCGGATAAATATATATATGGGAGCTATATCGAAATCTGAACCGATATCGATCTCAAAATTTTAAACACTAATTTCTGAGCAGTATCTGATATCTCGTACCAAAGATTATTGTTGTGGGGTGCATATTACTCATGGGGGGACGTTAACACCAAATCATAAAATCAAATCAAAAACATATATATGAGAGCTATATCTGAGCGATTTTTCACCGAATTTGAAGCACTTATTTCTAGGATTCAGTGGAATTGTCTATGTGGGCTGATATTAGACAGATATATATATAGGAGCTTATCCTAATCTGATCCGATCTCGATTAAATTTGACAGACGTATTTTCGATGTCCATAAGTTATCTAGTATTAAGTACAATTCTTGTGGATTGCATATTACGCGTGTGAGGGACTTTAAACCCCAAATCGGATAAAACATATACATGGGAGCTATAGCTATATTTGTACCGATTTACACCAAATTTGAAATATTGGTTTCTTACATGAATTCAGTCGTAATTGTAGAAATTCTTTCCATTTGGGCTGATATTAGCCATTTGGTGCACAATAAAACTGATATCAGATAAAGATATATATGGGAGCTATATCCAAATCTGATCCGATTCTCCAAATGTATGTACTGGCTTCTGGACTGAATTCGGTCAGATGTGCTAAAAATCATGTTATTTGAACTGATATTGCCATTTGGCGATATGGGCCGAAATCTGTTGAAGATATATATGGGAGCTAAATCGTATTTGAACCTATTCTCACCAATTTCAACTGCAGGACCGATTGATACTTTTTAACTTGAAAAAGCCCCATTAACGTTGGCATATGCTTACATTTTTTCTCTTCAATTGGAGGTATGATCTCTTGAGAAAAATGCTTTCTGTAGGAAACAAATTTGGAGGCGATATAAAGAGACGGTTTGTCTACTTTGGGTCGGAAAAAGTGGGTAGTTATGTTATCAGGGTGTGAATGACCGTGTAAATCAAATTCAGTCCTTCTGGTCTAGAATTGTCTGAAAATCCGTGCAAGGATTTTCGTGTGAATGCTTTATTCCCTAGAAGAGAATTGTGTATATAGGTCCACGATATCGAATAACCGTCATAAAAAGGTAACCCCCGATATTCGGTATTTTGATGATTTCAGCCAAAATTTTCAATGGAATTGTTTGAAACTCCACACAAGGATTTTCGTGTGAGTACTTTATTCCCTAGAAGAGAATTGTATATGTATAGGTCCACGATATCGTATAACCCCAATAAAACGGTAGCCTTCGATATTCGGCATTTTGATGGTTTTTAATGGAATTGTCTTAAAATCCTCAGAAGGGGTTCCTACTGAGTACTTTACCTGCTAGAAGAGAATTGTTCACATGGATCCACGTTTTAGTATAGCGCTCATACAACGGTACACACAGATATTCGGTATTTTCATGATTTTTGCGACATTATTCACCGGAATTGTTTCAAATTTCGTATTTGAATTTCGAAACCATTACTACTGCCTATGACAAAAATTACTTATGCAGAATCACGTCTTCGTATACCCCCCATACAACGGTTTTCATTTGAGCGCTATTTTTCGTCGGAAAATTTTTTGAAATTTTTCAAGTTTCTTCCAAATGGTGGAGGTTATAAAAAGTTCGGCTTGGCCGAGCTTAGTTGCTTTTTTAATTGTTATACCCTCCACCATAGTATGGAGGGTATATTAAGTTTGACATTCCGTTTGTAACACCTCGAAATACACATTTTAGACCCCACAAAGTATATATTCTTGATCAGCATAAAATTCTATGTCGATTTAGCGATGTCCGTCTGTCTATCCGTCTGTCCGTCTGTGGAAATAACTCTAGCTTCCGAATTGAAGTAGATTGATAAAATTTTGCTCAAATGTATGTTATGTCTTTTTTACTTTTGGTATTGAAAATGGGCCATGTAGGTCCACGTTTTGGTATAGGCTCCATATAACGATACCCCCCGATATTTGGTATTTTGATGATTTTAGCGAATTTATTCACCGGAATTGTTTCAAATTTGGTATTTAAAGTTCGTAATGGATACTACAGCCTAAGACAGAAAATTGTCTGTGCAGGTCCACGTCTTCGTATAGCCCCCATATAACGGTACCTCCCGATATTCGGTATTTTGATTTTATCGACATTATAAACGATTTTTTTAAGTTTCGCATTTGAATAATGTAATGGCATATGATAAATGTTACCAACGCAGGTTCATGTCGTCATATAGACCCTAATAAAATAGCTACATTCGGTATTTTTAAGATTTTAACAGAATTTTTAACGGATAAAAATTTCCAAATTCGTTCCAAATCGTGGATATTCACAGTTCGGCCCGGCCGAACTTACAGCTTTTTTACTTGTTTTACATCACATAGGTCCTGCCTCAATGGTAAAATCCGGGTGCGAAATGACTGAGAAGGGAAAAATGAGCATCGCGTTGGTTGGGGTTTGTATTCAAGCTGCTCGATTTATATTCGTTTCGAATTTGCATTATTAAACTGATGCCTGACCCGTATGAAGACAAAAGACCTAAAAGGGTTACGCAAGTGACAAAGGAGTTGGCCATAGCAAAAGGCAATTAAATCGTTACTTATACTTGCTTGGGGTATTAGTTTTTTCTAGTTTTCAACACGACTGTGAGATACGCCGATATCTAGTATTGAAATAAAACACATTGCTTTAAAAGAGATCAATTAGGAAGCCTTTATTCAAACAAAACGCCACAATATTCAATATTATAATTTCGAAAAATATATCTTCGTATGCATGTTCTATTTTATACATGTATGTATATTATTTAACACATTACATTTCCATCGGGATTTCCTACTACTACTTCGATCGCCCTATCATAAAATTTTTTTTTCAAGTCGACGTCTTTTTCTCTTTCTCTCATTTTTCAAGTCGCTGGAATCGTTTAAACGATCAATAAATAATCCAACGAATCTTGTTCGACCAGCTCAGTTGTTGTTTGGATGGGATTGGGAATAGAACATTGATTGCTGAATCGTTGCAAAAATCAAACAAAGCATGTTCCGCACATCGTGTTGTTTTCTTTTAATTGTGGTCAGTGCATTTTTTGCTGGCACAGCAGTGGGGCGTAAGTGTGATAGGAAATTAATTGGAAAACCAAATAAGAAATGCATTATGAAGTTGAACCTGAAACATATATATTTTTCGTTTTTCATCATCAGAGCAATATGCAAGTGAGTGTACGTTACCGAATCGCCAAACTGGTCAGTGTATGCCGGTGAAATCTTGCCGGCCAATTTATGAAACGTTCCTCAGAGCAAAGGCGGAAAATCGTAAACTATCGGCGGACGAGGTTGCCAATTTACAAAAATTCTTTTGTGGAACCATATCGAATACGGTAAGTATACATTTGTGAGAAATGAGCGTCGATATTTGAATTCGCTGTATAATAGCTAAACAGTTATGAGAAATGTCAAACGAAGAGATTTTCGGTTCTGTGAGAAATATTGATTGATGAAATTCGTTTAGTATTCAGATTCTTATAACCTCCATTATACATATAATGGAAGGTATATTAAGTTCGTCATTCCGTTTGAAACTCATCGAAATAATAATTTTAATTTTAGAGCCAACAGCGAAAAATTTAATCTAGCCCCGACCGTCTGTTGTAATCACGCTAGAGTCAAAACGAATTAAGAAAGGAAGCTAAAACTTTGTACAGATCAGTCTTTTGTCTGCAAGCAGGTCAAGTTCCAAGATGGGCTATATCGGTCCGCGATATCATATATCCCCCATACAATGGTGCCCCCCCATATTCGGTACTTTGACGATTGTAGCCAAAATTTTTCAATGGAATTGTGTGAAAATCCACAAAAGCAGTTACTTCTGAGTACTTTACCCCCTGGAGGAGTATTGCTTATATAGGTTCACAATATTGTATATCTTCCATATAACTGTACCTCCCGATATTCGGTACTTTGATGATTTTAGCCACTTTTTTAAATTTAATTGTCTGAAATTCTACACAAGGAGCTCTGTGTGAGTACTTTATCCCCTGAAAGAAAAATCTACGTATGCCCACGATATCGTATAGCCCCCACGATATGTTATAACCCCCGATATTCGGTATTTTGATGATTTTAGCTACATTTTTCATTGGAATAGTCTGATAATCCACACAAGGAGTTCTCTCTGAGTACTTTACCCCCTGGAAGAGAATTGTCTATATAGGTCTACGTTTAAGTGTAGCACCCATATAACGCAACCCAGAGATATTCGGTATTTCATTATTCACCGGAATCGCGTCAAATTTCGTATTTGAAGTTCGTAATCCTCCCGATATTCGATATGTTGATGATTTTAGCGACATTATTCACCGGAATTGCGACATTATTCATTTCGTATTAAGATTTTGTAATGGGAACTACAGTCTATGACAGAAATTTATATATGCAGGTTCAGGTCTTCGTATATGCCCCATATATCACTACGTCCCTTTATTCGGTATTCTGACGATTTCAGGTACAATATTTACTGAAATTGTTTGAAATTTCGTATTTGAAGTTCCTAATAGGTACTACAGCCTCTGACACAAAATTGTCTATGCAGATGCATGCCTTCGTATTGTCCCGATATAAGTGTACCTAACTATATTCGGTATTTGTACGATTTTGGCTACGTTATTCACCGATTTTTTTAAGTTTCTTATTTGAATATTTTATGTCATAGGCTGTAGTATCCTTTACGAATTTCAAATACCAAATTTAAAACATTTCCGGTGGATAATGTCGCTTAAATCACCTACAAAGTCCTGCAAACATAATAAGCATTTGAGTAAAATTGTATCTACCTACTTCATTTCGTTCGGAACCTAGAGTGATTTCCCAGGAGGAAGGAAATCAAAATACAAAATACAGGAAGGTACTGATATGTGGGGCCTGTAGGGAGACCTGTAAATGCGGAAATTTTCTATCATAGGCTGTAGTGATAATTCCGAACTTTAAATACCATATTTGAGACAATTCCGGTGAATAATGTGAATAAAATCATCAAAATACCGAATATCGGGAGGTACCACCACTATATGAAGGCTTTACGAAGACGTGGACCTGCACGGACAATTTTCTGTCACAGGCTGCATTATTCATTACGAATTTTAAATAACAAATTTGAAACATTTCAGGTGGATAATGTCGATTAATCATACCGAAAATAGGGAGGTACCATTATCTATCAAAATACCGAATATCGGGAGGTACCACCACTATATGAAGGCTTTACGAAGACGTGGATCTGCACGGACAATTTTCTGTCACAGGCTGCATTATTCATTACGAATTTTAAATAACAAATTTGAAACATTTCAGGTGGATAATGTCGATTAATCATACCGAAAATAGGGAGGTACCATTATCTAGGGGTTATACCAAAACGTGAACCTACATGACCCATTTTCAATACCAAAAGTCCTGCAGACATAATAAACAGAGTACGGCGCCATAATTTTTACATTTCTTTTTTATATCGAAAATAGCATCAAATTTTAGAATAAATTTAGATTGGCTCGAATTGGTCATCTTTGGCACGAATTATGGCCTTCAAACGGCCAATGAAACCGTCACACGCTGCCCGAATGTTGCTCTGCAGTATTTTGGCCTGTTCCCGGCGAAGCGATTGCTTGAGGTGATCGACACTATCGTATTTTTTAGTGCCAATATTGCTTTCCAAAATCCTCCAGACTCAATAGTCCAACGGATTGGTATCTGGAGATTTTGGTGACCATTGTGCGCTGGAAATGAAGAGAGGAACCTCATTTTGTAACCATTCTTGGGTGGCACGTGCTGAGTGCGATGGTGCAGTGTCCTGTTGATATGTCCAAGGTCTGCGGCCAAAATGGTTTTCGCGATAATATTCGGCATCTATTTGATGCCACGGTCGATTAATACGAGCGTAGAGCGACCATCGGTTGTTATGGCGGCCCACACCATCACCATGGCCGGCGCTTGAGTTCTTGTGGCCAACCGAAGTTGCACATTTTCAGCTGACCTCTATGGCAAGTAAACACGATCATATTGTTTGCTAACAAACTTCTGGACAACGAATGTTTTCTCATCGAAGAAAACCAAATTCGGCAGTTCAGCACTTTCGGCCAAGCGAAGCAACTCTTTAGCTCTTTTAAGTCTATTTTCTTTCTGTTGCGGTGTAAGTTCTTGCACTTTTTGGAATTTCAATGGCTTTACCCCGACCTCATTTTTCAATATTTGCTGAATGGAATATTGTGATATATTCATCTCACGAGCCATTTTTCGGCCAATGCGACGCGGGTTTCGACCAAGTCGCTTCTTCACTTTTCGAACCATTTCTGCTGATGTTGGTGTTGTCTTCCGTCCATTTCCTTGACGTCGGCCTACCCGACCTGTATCAAGGTAACGAGCGATGGTACGAGACACAGATGATTTATTCACATTTAAATGCTGGAGTGCCACCATGGAGCCACTTGTGGTTTTCCAGCCAAATATAAATAAATCACACTATCACGCTTTTGTACGCTTGTTGACAATATAATGAGGTGTCACTGGAATAATTTTAACAGCTGTCGGACGAGTGGCTTAGAAATGACAGCAGTCTGAAGTTGGTTGCAGTTTTTTCATCTCACCCTGTACTCTGCGGGATCTAAAATTTATACTTCGAGGTGTCACAAAACGAATGACAAACTAAATATACCTCCTATACTATGGTGGAGGGTATAAAAAAGAAGAAGCAGAGGGTATCAGTTGTCTGAGATATCGAAATGTCAATTTTTGAAAATAAAATTTGGACAATTTCAACTCCATTTGAGTCAAAAGAAAAGTTAAAAAAATCGCTTTTCTTACTGTCAAAATATAAATCATACGCTGACAGGAATGTAATGGAAAGTCCGAAAGGGGGAAAATCTCCAAATGTGGAAACTACTTCTTTATGATGACTTTTAATTAATAATATTATTTTTCTTAATATTTTATTATGGGCAGAATAAGTTGAAATGAGTAGTATTCGTCCTCAGATTCACTTGCTAATATAGCCTTAAGGATTCCAAAGTCTTAGCGAATTCAAACTGTTCTGGGCCTTAATGGGCTAATAACCTTTGTTCCCTGATCTTGTTTTCGGGAAAGTAACATCTGGGCAAAAAAATTTTGCTGTATTTGACACGTCCAATTATTCACCATGGCACTGAAAACATATCATAACCATAAGAATTTCTTTCCTATAAAAATGAAAACATACCTACACATATTGAAGGGGTCAGAGGTTATACCGAGTTTAACTGGTAATGCATTTCGTTATCTATGGGTATTTACAGCGCCAGCTGTGTGGCATTCGTTGTTTCGAGATGTTCTGATAATGCAGTTATTCTCTCAGTCTTTGTTTTGTTGTGGGAGAATCCAATGAAGCTATATTTAACCAGGAGTTTGAACGTTTCTTAAGAAAAACACATATTTATTAATAATACATTATTTCTTCCAAGGTCCATGTCTGCTGTGCCGCGACGGACATTCAATTGAATGCTGACGGCTTGGAAATATTGAAAAAACAAGAACAATGTGGCGTTCTAACTGGCAATAAAGTTTCGAATGGTGTGGAGGCTGCCTTGTTTTCCTTTCCCTGGATGGCTTTGTTAGTTTACAATGATACGCGAGATCCATATAAATGCGGCGGGTCTTTGATAAGTGAACGTGAGTATTTAATAAAAATTTTAAATCCTTAAACATTAAGAGTGTGTATTTTGGTTTTCTTTTAGGTTATGTTTTAACAGCTGCCCACTGCCTTAAACCCGATTTACATCTAGTTCGTTTGGGTGAACATCGCATTAGTACGGAAAGAGATTGCCTACCAAATGGTTTGGTATGTGCCCCACCGGTGGAAAATATTGAAATTGAATTGGCCATACCAAATTATTCGTTTCGAAGATTTTCACACGATATAGCCTTGCTGCGATTGAAGCGTGCAGTTCAGTATCAAAGTAAGTGAAGAATAATAATTTAAATAGTGGAAGAATTATTCCAGTGACAGCTCATTATATTATTTACAAGCGTACATAAGCATTTTGGTGAGAATGTTCCTGAAAAAAAGTTATTCGTGATGGAATTCAAGCGTGATAGTGTGATTTCTTTATATTTGGCTGGAGAACCACTATCGTGGCTATCGTTAGAGCACTCCAGAGGTTAAATGTGAATAAATATTTTGTGTCTCGTACCATCGCTCGTTACTGTGATACTGGTAGCGTAGACCGATGTCAAGGAAGCGGACGAAAGAAAACAGCAACATCAGCAGAAATGGTTCGACAGGTAACGAAGTGACTTGATCGAAACCCGCGTCGCAGTGGCTGAAAAATGGCTTGTGAGCTGAACATATCGCAATAATTCATTCGCAAATATTGAAAAATGAGCTCGGGATAAAGCCATTGAAATTCCAAAGAGTGAAAGAACTTTCACCACAACAGAAAGAAAATAGACTTAAAAGAGATAAAAGTAGCTTCGCTTGGCCGAAAGTGGTGAACTGCTGAATTTGGTTTTCTCTGTTTAGAAAACATTCGTTGTCCAGCAGTTTGTAAACAAACAAAATGATCGTGTTTACTTGCCCAAGAGGTCAACTGAAAATGTGCACCTTCGGTTGGCCACCAGAACTCAAGCGCCGGCCATGGTGATGGTCTGGGCCGCCATAATAAATCGGCCGTGGCATTAGAATAAATGCCGACCATTACCGCGAAAATATTCTGAAGGGTGTATTAAAGCCTTGGGCACGCAAACATTTTGGCCGCAGACCTTTTGTGTCTGGAGCATTTTGGAAGCAAGGTTGGTACTAAAAAATACCAAAGTGTCGATCACCTCAAGTAAGCGCTTCGCCGGGAATGGGCCAAAATACCGCAGAGCAACATTCGGGCAACGTTTGACGGTTTCACTGGCCGTTTGAAGACCATAATTCGTGTCAAAGATGACCAATTCGAACAAATTTAAACTTATTCTAAAAGTTGGCTATACCAAAACGTGGACCTATAATTACAATGACTCGCCACACGAACTGGGACCCATTATGATCTACAACTACAAATTTTCAGAGTAATTCTTGAAAAAATGTCAAAAGTCAAAAATTATCAAAATGCCGAATATTGGGAGGTACCGTTATATGGGGACTATATCAAAACGTGGACCTATACATACAATGTTTCGCCACACGAACTAGAACCCATTATGACCCACAAACACCAATTTTTAGACAAATCAGTGAAAACATGTGGCAAAAACCATCAAAATACCGAATATTAGGAGGTACCGTTATATGGGGGCTATACCAAATCATGGACCCATACATGCAATGTTTCGCCACCGGAGCTGGAACCCATTATGACCAACAAATACCAATTTTTAGACAAATCCGTGAAAAAATGTTGCAAAAAAAAATAAAATACCGAATATCGGAAGGTACCTTTATATGGGGGCTATACCAAAACGTGGACCCATACATGCAATGTTTTGCCACACGCATAGGGACCCATTATGACCTACAAGTACCAATTTTCAGACAAATCCGAGAAAAATGTGGCATAAATAATCAAAATACCGAATATCAGGAGGTACCGTTATATGGGGACTATACCAGAACGTGGACCGATATATCTTCTATCCATCCTAGACACAATACAAATAGCTCTGCTAAATTTTGGCGCTCTACGTCAGATAATGTGGGCTGTATCGTGATTTCAACTGACCGACAGACAGGCGGACGGACATCGTTAAATCGACTTAGAATTTTATGCTGATTATGAATATATATACTTTATGGGGTCTACGACAAATATTTAACATCCTTAAATACAAACAGAATGACAAAGTTAATATACCCTCCTTTCCAAGGTGGAGGGTATAACATTGCAAAAATTATGGCATCTGAATTTGTTGCAGTTTTTTATCTCACCCTGTATGTGGAACCTCATGATGGATCTTCTCATGCGTCTTTCATGGTTTAAGGTGGGACTCACCTCGAGTCATAGTCGACCTCCGCTTATACGAGCTGGTGAACGTGGCATGAGATACGCATAAACGATTAAGTACTTGGGTATCTATATGACGGATAGAATTTTCTGGTATATTTTGATTATATTAAGGCGTACGAATTTATTCGTGAGATAACGTTCGTACTGGACCGGTCAGACTTTCGCTTCGGCTTAAGTACAGGTTTCTTACTAGCTCAATGCCTTTTTGAATAAGAGAGGTATTTTCCAGACGGATTTATGACCGAGGAGTGGGTGCATGTACTGACGAAATGCCGTTACTGTAACGACATTCGAAGCTTAGCAAACATGAGTGCTACGTATGGCGGAGCGTATGGAATGGAATAACTGACTGAACTGGCGGCAATTAAATTTAAATTTCCTTTAATCAATTTCGATGCTGTCCTAGGACTTTGATAGGTATCTGGTTATTGTAATATTGAAGCAAGGCGAAAATCGCAGAATCAGCAAGGATGAGCTCGGTCAAGGCCAAAAGACATATTAAATTATCCTCTTTATCATTTTATCAGAGCATTAGAACTACTCTTCAGGGAGAGAGCCAAAGAGTACTGGTACAACGGACGAATTTGGCCAAGGTAAAGAATAAACATATAAGGAATAAGGATATATACAGGCCATTGCAACATCCGATCAAGAACTTCCAAATTGGATAATTCTAACATCGACTACTGCAGACTGTGTGGGGATGAGGAAGAAAATGAAACAATTGAACAACTATTATGTCACTGTCCTTCTAATATCGAGGGAAAAAGTTCGAGCCATTGTGGAGCATTCGACTCATGATCTAAGTGTTCATTCAGATGCGGATCTGATTTTCATAAAGAGTTTCAAAAAAGGCATTGCTGGCCTGGCGCTGAATTTAAAACTCGAGTCCATTCGACGCTTTTCTCCATCCAGGATAGTGCAGTCATCGCAATTTTTATTGGACGCCAGTTGACGAAATCGTGCACAACGTCAGCCCTAATATTAATGCAAATATTACGATATGTGACTTCGGATCCGATGGGGAATTTCCTTTTTGCATATGAAGATTGTCGGAGGAGTAGATTTATACTTGTAGGCTGTTTCCAAAACCGAATTCTGGTTATACCCTACACCACATAGTGGTAAGAGTATTATGTCTTTGTGCATTTGTTTGTAACATTGAGAAGGAAGCGAGATAGACCCATAGTTACTCCTGAGGATCTCCATAGAATCACTTTCTGAGTTGATTTATGCATGTCAGTCCGTCTGTCCATGTATTCTTGTGAACAAAATGCAGGTCACATTTATTATCCGATTGAGATGAAATTTTCCAAACAACATTTGTTTGGCCCAAGGACGAACCCTATTGAAATTGGAGATAATCGGTCAAAATTTAGATATAGCTCCCATATATATCTTCGTCCGATTTGCTTTTATTGTGCACCAAACGTGTAATATTAGCCCGAATAGTATGGAATTTTGCACATACAACCAAATTAGGCCTGAAAATATGTATGACAAATTTGATCGAAAGCGGTTCAGATATAGCTATAGCTCCCATATATATTGTTCATCCGATTTGTTATTTTTGTCCTCCGCAGCCATAACATGCACTCTGTAACAACAATATTTGGGAAAATATATCAAATACAGCTCAGAAATACATTTGCTCAATTTTATCGAGATCGGTTCAGATTTGGATATAGCACCCATACATAACTTCGTCCGATTTACCTTTTATTCTACACCAAACATCTAACATTTGTCCAAATGGGATGGAATTTGGCACAAGCGACCGAATTGAGTTTAGAAGCTAGCATGCAAAATTTGGTGAAGATCGGTTCAGATATAGCTATAGCTCCCATATACATATCATCCGATTTGTTGTATTTGTTACCCACAGTCGTAATATGCACTCCGTAACAACGATATTCAGGAAAATATATCAGATACAGCTCAGAAATATATTTGCCAAATTTTATCGAGATCGGTTCAGATTTGGAAATAGCTCCCATATATATCTTTATCGGATTTCAAATTAATTGTGCACCAAATGGACAATACAAGTCCGAATTTAAAAGATACAGTGGTTTCTATTTACCTGCATCAACATTAGCTGCGCATTGGCCTTTGCAGACCAAAAAACTTTTGTTATGCCATATTTTCTGAATCCCTTAATTTGAATTGTATTTAAGTGCCCAATCGATAGCTGCACATTGGACATTCCTGCCTCGAAAATTTGGTATTTTTTTAATTTGGTTACAAAAGTTGTATTTATCTGCACAAGGAAAATTTTTGCAAACTCAAAAAGACACTAAAAACTACCACTTCGTTTTTGTTTTTGTATTCGCGAACACAATAACAACACAAGAAAAGAGCATGCATTAAAAACATATTCTCGCTTCCTCTCCCACACTAAAAGATGGTTATGCTGGATAAAACACCACTGATGCTCAAATACATACGAATAGAAAATTAAAGATACCTGCACTTTTTGTGCACGTAAGTAAAATTAAAGATACCTGCTTCATTGTGCAGATAAGTGCAATGAAGCTACCTGCATTTTGGACATTGCTGCACAAGATGTCGTGCAATTTTTGATTGTGCAGGTAAGCAAAAAATACTGTACAAATGCTTCGGCATATTTAGTCCTTTGAACGTTAAATTATAATCATAGAGTGTATGATTAAATTCTCCCATAAAAAAAGTTTAATTGTTATGTGGAGCTCTACTAAATTAGCAAAGTGGTGTAGGGTATCATTAAGTCGGCCCGCCCGACTTTAGGACTTTCGTTACTGGTTTATTTATGTCTTTGTGTGATTGTTACGTACTGGATGGAATAGTTTATATAGTTCTGAAGTTTTGACTAAATTGGAGGTTAAATGCATATGAGGAGTAATGTATTTTTTGAAAGATTTTTCGTATCATGTAAGAATGCTTGAAGCGGCATTATTTACTGATCGCATAGAAAATTGTAGTCCTTTATCGATTTAAATTCCCTTTAAATTAAAAAAAAAACATATAATTTGTTTTTATTTTTTAGAACACATCAAACCAATATGTTTACCCATTTACGATGAGCTGAGGCCTAAAAGATATCCGGAATATGTTATCTCTGGATGGGGTCGTACAGATAAGGGTAAATTATGCCAAACACATTAAATATTCCAATTGATTATTATTATTTTATTTACCCCTTCCAGCCCCCATTTCCGATGTCTTAATGGCCGCCGTCATACCATTTGTAGAGCTGCCAGAATGTCAGACAGTTCTACAAAAATATCGTCTACGCAGTCGATTGAATGAGAGTCATATTTGTGCTGGAAATCGAAATTTAGTTGATTCCTGTGATGGTGATTCCGGTGGTCCCTTGGGCTATAAGGACATGTATAATGGTCATCCACGTTTCATACAATTCGGTGTGGTGGCATTTGGGGTGAATTTGTGCGGTGAAGGTGACTCACCGAATGTTTACACGAATGTTTCACATTACCTGCAATGGATAACGGATAATATTTCGAATTGATTTTTTGAAGTATTTTTTTTAATTTTTTTCGTATTTCAATAAAATTAGGGGATTATATTTTAATATAATTTAGGGGATTTTTTTAAAATATCTCTGGTATTTGGTCTATGAATGGTATTATATTCGTGGAAACCTAAAGTAGAAGTTATACATATATAGAAATCGTATAGACAGTAATCAATGTATAAGAATCATATGGAAGGTCTTCTATGCATGAAATCACTTAAAAAGGCCTTCCCCGCAAAACAAGCCAAATTAAAAAAAATAATAAATAAATAAAGACTTGTATTTTTTTCAACGAAATTAGCGAGGAAATTTTAAAATGACCACCGAGAAACAATTTAATGAATTCAACAGTTTTGTTTGCTTCGATAATCAATTAACCCGAAGTTGTATAATTAATTGGGGCGAAAATCTGATTCATCACATAAAAATGCCAAAATTTGGGAATTCCAAAATGGCTTATCAAATTCATTCATAAATTAGCAAATTAAGACAGTGCTAAGTTCGGTCGAAGCTTAATAGAATAGAAAAAGTAAAAGAGACAATAAAGGTGACCGAACCGAAATTTTAATACTTGCCTTTACGAGAGTAAAATTTGATCGCGTTTAATTAAAAAATGCCTTTGAAATACCTGTATGTTACTCAAGAGTACCAAATATGATTCTCTCGGTGTAGAGTGTGGGGAGAGCTAGAGCTTTAAATGTTTTTTTGACTATGATTAACAAATTTTTTTTAAAAAAGGATAGTTCAAAAGTTCAAGAAATATATGGTCCTTAAAAATTTTTTTAATAATCCTTAATTTGTTAAAATGTAAAAAAACGATCACCTTTTAGAATTTAAGAGTCTCGAAATCACACGTAAATATAACCAGTAAAGAAAGTCTTAAAGTCGGGCGGGGCCGACTTTATGATACCCTACATCACTTTGCTAATTTAGTAGAGCTCCGCATAACAATTAAAAGTTTTTATGGGAGAATTGTATGGCACGCTATGATTATATTTATAATTTAAAGTTCAAAAGACTAAATATGCCGAAGCATTTGTATCTTTTAAATTCGGACTTGTATTGCCCATTTGGTGCAGAAATAATTTGAAATTGGATAAAGATATATATGGGAGCTATATCCAAATCTGAACCGATCTTGATAAAATTTGGCAAATATATTTCTGAGCTGTATTTCATATATTTCCCTGAATATCGTTGTTACGGAGTGCATATTACGGCTGTGGGTAACAAATATAACAAATCGGATGAACAATATATATGGGAGCTATAGCTATATCTAAAGCGATCTTCACCAAATTTGGCATACTATCTTCTAGACTCAATTCCGTCGTAAGTGCAAAATTTCATCCCATTTGGGCAAATATTAGACGTTTGGTGCACATTAAAAGGATAAATCGGACGAAGTTATATATGGGAGATATATCCAAATCCGAACCGATCTCGATAAAATTTAGCAAAAGTATTTTTGAGCTGTATTTGATATATTTCCTCCAATATTGTTTTTACAGAGGCTGTGGAGGACTAAAATAACAAATCGGATGAACAATATATATTGGAGCTATAGCTTTATCTGAACCGATTTCGATCAAATTTGGCATACTTATTTTCAGGCCTAGTTTGGTTGTATGTGCAAAAATGCAAAAAATGATGCTTATTTCGCTTTCCTTGAGCGTTTTATTTCTCAAAATCTTGATCTCCACCATATTTGTAAGAGATCTTGTGTTGATGGAAATATTGATATGTGCCAAGTCTGAATGGAATCGGACGTTATTTTCGCGTTTTTTGAGATTCAGGGATACTTAAAATTTTGGCCCTTTGTTAGGGAGATACCAGAAGGAGTTGGATATATCGGCCAATCGCACACCAGACCTTGGGTTAATAAAAATATTGTAATGCGTGCAAATTGAAGAGAACCAGATGCTTATTTCGGATTTTATAATGGTTATTCAACCATGTTGACCATTTGTGGGGGAGGCACCGGAAGGAATGGTCCGATCCCTACCATCTTTATAAGAGGTTTTGTATTGATTGAAATGTTGAGATTTGCCAAGTCTGAATGGAATCGGATGTTAATTTCGTGTTTTCATGAATATTAAACATTTTGACCCTTTGTGGCGGAGGTACAAGAAGGAGTGGATCGATATATTCCATCTTCACACAAGATATTGTTTAAACAGAGATTATGGGTTATATGACAATGAGGAGAATCGTATGTTTACTTGGAATTTTATTATCGTTTTGGTTATTCCGAACTATGGCCCTTTATGAGTTTCATGGATATTATATATTAAGACTCTTTGTGGGGGAGGTACCAGAAGGTGTGATCCGATATATTCCATCTTCACACCAGATCTGGGGTTAATAAAAATAGTGTGATATACGTAATTTGAAGAAAATCGGGCTGTTAAATCACATTTTATATAAGACTTATAATTATTCAGAATCTTGACGCAAAAACGCAGTACACATTCTCTGTCAACTGCTTTGGAACTTCCCTCAAAGGGTAGAAATCTGTCGACAAACCGACTGATACTATTTTATTTGTTTTTTTTTTTTGAAATGTCGACCTTTTGTCCATCCCCAAACTCGATCTTAGTTTGATAATAATATTACGATGTATCAAGTTTGGACCAAATCGGATACTCCCTTCGAATGTTATGGTTCGCACCAGCCACATGGACAGATAGACGGACGGTGGGCGGATATCACTCGATAGACTCCAAATGTCCTGAAACGGATTTGTTCCACATAGACCTATACCAAATAGACCTAAATAGACCCAGGGTCTAAAAACGTTATTTCGATGAGGCACCTTTTGGCCGTATCGAATAATATATACCCTCTCTAGCCATATGGCTTTGCGAATAATGATATGCCCAACAGAGAAACGGTCGGACACAACTATATCGACCCCAAAGAGACCTGAGGTTTAAACCCAATTTTTCGTTATTGCGTAACTTACGAGTCATTTACTCATGCATCTTTCATAATTTTCCATCTCAAAGAAAAGAATATATTAATAGAAAGCGTTTTTGATTTAACACCTACAAAATTTCCATAAATACCAAAGATAATGAATTTCCCCATATTTCTAGAATTTCCACTAATGGTTAAAAATGGTTTCGGAAAACCACATAAACTTCGATAAACATCTGAGGAACCATTTTTTCCTTACGGAAATGTTCTTAAATTATAAAAATATATATATATATATATATATATTGGCCTCTTCCTTTCTTTCAACTCAAAATATTGTTTTTATCAACACCACTGCCACAGAGCTTTGGTTTTTTTAGTTGGTCTGATAACCCGTTTCAGTGGCGATTTGCAACTGTGAATGGATTTGGATAAATTAAATACAGCAAAAATTGCGAACACTGAGAAACGTGTTAGGCATTCAAGCGCATCGGAAAGTGCCGGCTTTGCATATACAAAAGCAAGTTCAGTGACTAAAACCGGTAGTCTCTCGTCCAACACTCAGCGGTCAAGAACTGAAACGAAGAAATTATAGAAATATTTTTATAAGAACTTTGAGAAAAAAAAAATAAATAAAAAAAAACAATTTATTTTGTTTTGTTTTGTGAATCCATAAACAACCAATTTAATTGATTGACTTTGTGCTGATGGGGAAACACACGTGAACGATTTGTTTTGTTGTGAGAATTTTGAAAAAAATGTTTTTGCATAAATTGTGACACAGCTAATTAATTCATTAAAATTTGTTTTCATGAAATTTTAATTAATGTGAAATTTATGACCTTTAAATGCGAAATATTTGAAATATATCATAATTGAGTGTGTATTTATAAAACAGGTATCAATCAACATGAAAAAAAATGTATTAAATACGTCTCAAGTGGTCAGCGATTGCATTTTCGATTGAAAATATTTTTGGCGAATTTTTATCCTCAACCAATAAAAAGATTTAAATTTGTTCTAAAATATATAGGTGAGCACTTGAATGGCAGACGTAGACGAAGCACATGTGGAAAATGTGACTAAAACCTTTAAATGAAATTGCCTATTTGCATTTTCCGTAACTTGAAAATCGTTGGATATAAACTTAGTTATTTTTAGTATTTGTGTATTCTGAATTTAAACGGCTTAAAAATAAGCGATTTAAAAAAAATATTGAAAAACGAATTTTTTAAAAATATCTAAACTGTAAAAGAAAACAACAATATTTAAAAAACATACACGTTTGGTGCAAAGAGAAGGCAAATCGGAGAAATATATATATGGAAGCTATATCTAAATTTTGACCGTTTATTTCCAATTTTAATGGGGTTCGGCCTTGGGCCAAACAAATGATTTGTGCAAAACTTCGGACAGACAGACAAACAGACGGACGGAAGGACCTGCATAAATCGACTCAAAATGTGATTCTATGCTGATCACCAAAAGAAAGTCTTAAAGTCGGACGGGGTCGACTTTATGATACCCTACACCACATTTAGTAGAGCTGCGCATAACAATTAAAAGTTTTTATGGGAGAATTCAATCATACACGCTATGCTTATAATTATAATTTAAAGTTCAAAGGACTAAATATGCCCTAGCATTTATATCTTTTAAATTCTTTCTTTTTCTAATCTTCTAAAATTCGGACTTGTATTGTCCATTTGGTGCACAATTAATTTGAAATCGGATAAAAATATATATGGGAGCTATATTCAAATCGGAACCGATCTCGGTTAAATTTGGCAAAGATATTTCTGAGCTGTATTTGATATATTTCCCTGAATATTACGGAGTGCATATTATGGCTGTGGGTAACAAATATGAAAAATCGGATGAACAGTATATATGGGAGCTACTAGCTTCTAGACTCATTTCGGAAAGTGCCAAATTTCATCTAATTTGGGCAAATATTAGACGTTTGATGCACAATCAAAGGTAAATCGGACGAAGTTATATATGGGAGCTATATCCAAATCTGAACCGATTTCGATAAAATTTAGCAAATGTATTTTTGAGCTGTATTTGATATATTTCCCAAAAAATTGTTGTTACAGAGTGCATATTACGGCTGCGGAGGACAAAAATAGCAAATCGGGTGAACAATATATATGGGAGCTATAGCTATATCTGAATCGATTTCGATTTGGCATACTTATTTTTAGGCTCAATCTGATCGTACGTGCAAAATTCCATACTATTCGGACTGATATTACACGTTTGGTGCACAATAAAATGCAAATCGGACGAAGATATATAGGGGACCGATTGACCGATTATCTCCAATTTCAATAGGGTTCGTCCTTGGGCCAAACAAATGATTTGTGCAAAATTTCATCTGGATAGGCCAATAAATGCGAACTGTACTTTGTTTACAAAAATACATGGACAGACGGACGGACGGACATGCATAAATCGACTCAGAATGTGATTCTATGCAGATCATCAAAAGGAACTATGGGTATAACTCGTTTCCTTTTGCCTGTTACAAACAAATGCACAAAGACATAATACCCTGACCACCTTGTGGTGTAGGGTATAACTATGGGTCTATCTCGTTTCCTTCTCCATGTTACAAACAAATGCACAAAGATATAATACCCTTACCACTATGTGGTGCAGGATATAAAAACATTGAAAATTATCGTAAATTCAAAAATATAAAAAAGAAAAAGGAATACAAACGGACAAAAAACAGCTGAGGACCTAACTTTTAACACCTTCCAGCATTTGAATAGAACTTGAAAAATTTCAACAAATTCCAAAAATGCCATTTAAATGATGAGCTTTATACGGGGGCTATTCGGAGACGGGGATCTGCATAAGTAATTTTTGTCATAGGTTGTAATACCCATTACCGTTATATGGGGGATATACGATATCGTGGAGCAATATAGACAGGTTCTCTTACAGGTGGTAAAGTACCCACAGAACTTCAGACAATTTCATTGAAAAATTTTGCTACAATCATCAAAATACCAAATATCGGGAGATACCATTATATGGGGGATATACGTTATCATGGACCTATAGAACTTCGAACTTGACCTGCCTGCAGACAAAAAACTGATCTGTGCAAAATTGTAGCTCCTACCTTTATTCATTTGGACTGTAGTGTGATTACAAAATATGGACAGAGCTAAATCATCTTGGAATTTTTCGTCGATCAAGACTAAAATTATTATTTCTATGAGTTACAAAGGAAATTTGGCAGAGGGATTTTCGAGCTGTATCTGATGTCTGGTAACAAATATGAAGTACTTGCTTCTGGGTTGAATTCCGTCAGAAGTGCAAAAATTCAGTCCATTTGGGCTAATAATAATAACGGATAATGATATATATGGGAGCTATATCCAAACCTGATTTGATTTCGATAAAATTTGACAAAGGGATGTCTGGACTGTATCTGATAACTGGTGGTGAGATCTGAACTTAAACACCAAATCGGATGAAACATATGTATGGAAGCTATAAATGTATCTGAACCGATTTTCACCAATTTTGAAGTACTTGTTTCTAGGATTAATTCGGCAGGATGTGCCAAAATTCAGGTCCTTTGGACTGATGTTGACCATTTGGTGCACAATTAACCCGAAATCGGTTGAAGATATAAATGGAAGCTATATTTAAATTTGAACCGATTCTCACGAATTTCAAACAAATATCGTTTGGAAAATTTCATCTCAATCGGACCATTCATCTCAAGATCATTCAACAATTTTTGAAAAAATCGGAGAGAAAATCCGATTTTCAACAATAGCAAAAATCGGTTAAAATCTGACACATTTTTTTTGTCTGCTACCTTAAAAAAACCAAAGTGCTCTGATCTCTGCGTTATAAAGCATATCACAAACAAGTTCGCGTTTTTCCTTAAGCCCTTTATATACCCTCAGCATATGTATATATCATTTGAAAGGGCCAAAACGTGCTTATTATTAACCTATTATTTACCACGTTTGTCATTCCGTTTGTAACACCTCGAAATACACATTTTAGACCCCACAAAGTATATATATTCTTGATCAGCATAAAATTCTATGTCGATTTAGCGATGTCCGTCCGTCTGTCCGTCTATGGAAATCACCCTAGCTTCCGAACGAATTGAAGTAGATTAATAAAATTTTACTGAAATGTATGTTATATCTGCAGGACTTTTGGCATTGAAAATGGGTTATGTAGGCCCACCTTTTGGTATAGCCCCTATATAACGGTAGCTCCCGATTTTCGGTATTCTGATGATTTTAGCGACATTATTCACCGGAATTGTTGCAAATTTGCAATTTGAAGTTCTTAATGGATACTAAAGCCTAAGACAGAAAATTGTCTGTGCAGGTCCACGTCTTCGTATAGCCCCAAATATAACGGTACCTCCCGATATTCGGTATTTTGATGATTTAAATGAATTTATTCGCCGGAATTGTTTCAAATTTGATATTTGAAGTTCGTAATAGATACTACAGCCTATGACAGAAAATTGTCTGTGCAGGTACAGAACTTTGTATAGGCCCCACATAACTGTACCTCCCGATATTCGGTAATTTGATTTCATCGACATTATAACTGATTTTTTTTAAGTTTCGCATTTGAATATTGTAATGGCTTATGACAAATGTTACCTATGCAGGTCCATGTTGTCGTATAGGCCCTAATATAACAGCTACATTCGGTATTTTTAAGATTTTAACAGAATTTTTAACAGATTTTATTGTATTTGAGAAATGCCAAATTCGTTTCGAATGGTGGAGGGTATTCAAAGTTCGGCCCGGCCGAATTTGCAGCTTTTTTTACTTGTTAAATAATGTTTTTTTAATCTATGACCTTCAATAACGGCCGATAAACATCATTTATAAAAAGTCTGCGGTTGCAATATTTATATCATATTTATTTAGGTCCGATACGAAATGGACAATATTGGCCCATTTCTTCGGAACCACCAATTTGAATAATCATAACAGATGTCAAAATATATTTAAATAATCGAACATTGGCTGAGGTATACTACATCTGTCGGCAAGACCGACTGATACTTTTTAACTTGTGTTTTTCTATCGACAGTTGCTAGAATTGGTTGGTGCCGTTTTTTGGTCCTAAAAAATCTATACCTTATAATAATACGATATTATTTAAAAATATAAATAAACTACAATCTTAAACTGAAAGCTGATAGGCAATGAGGAAAGAGTATCGAATATTTATCATTCTCTCTTTGATATCACAGGGTTTATGTGGTGAGTAACAAATACTTGCAACTGAAAACAAAATACTAAAATTGGTATTCATTTCCATCAGAATATGGCTCGCCATGTACAACAACCGATAATGTGGCTGGCATATGTGTTCCGGTCAAATCATGTAAGCCGGCATTTGATTTTTTCGCCCAACTACGGGAAAGTGGTCGGGTGATAACATTCTCTGAACGCGAGGAGATTCAAAGTTTACATTGCGGTACCTTTAGGGGAGTGGTAAGGAGAATGAAAATCTCTGAAATTTTAATGGCCAGCCAATACTGATTTTCGTTTTCGTCCAAGGCTCATATCTGCTGTGATCCATCAAAACTCCAATTGAATCCGGATGGTGTGTCCCTGCTGGAAAAACAAAAATGTGGTATTTATCTCACCAATCGTGTTACATATGGCTATGAGGCAAAATTAATGGGCTATCCATGGATGGCCCTTTTGGTGTACGATGATGAACGCGATCCGTATAAGTGTGGGGGTTCGCTGATAAGTGAACGTATGTGTTTCATAAACAATAAATACTTTATTGTAAAACTTGTAATTTTTTCGCTTAACATTTCTACAGAGCATGTTCTGACAGCTGCACATTGCGTCCGAGGAAGGGAATCGAGCATGTGAGTATAAAGCCATATTAAATTATTTTTAGGAGAAAAATTTTGAACAATTAAAAATTAATAACCTCAGAATTGAGGTCGGATTTTTTTCTAAAGAAAAAAGTGACCTCAGACCTGAAGTCGGATTTTTTTCTAAAGAAAAAAGTGACCTCAGACCTGAAGTCGGATTTTTTTTCTAAAGAAAAAAGTGACCTCAGACCCGAAGTCGGATTTTTTTCTATAGAAAAAAGTGACCTCAGACCTGAAGTCGGATTTTTTTAAAGAAAAAAGTGACCTCAGACCTGTGGTCCGACTTTCTATAGAAAAAAGTTACCTCAGACCTGAGGTCCGATTTTCTATAGAAAAAGTGACCTCAGAATTGAGTTAGGATTTTTTTCCATAGCAAAAAAAATGATCTCAGACCTAAAGTCGGATTTTTTTCTATAGAAAAAAAGTGACCTCAGACCTGAGGTCGGCTTTTTTCACTAAAGAAAAAAATGACCTCAGACCTGAGGTCAGATTTTTTCACTAAAGAAAAATATTACCTCAGACCTGAGGTCAGATTTTTTCACTATAGAAAAAATGTGACCTCAGACCTGAGGTCGGATTTTTTCACTATAGAAAAAAGTGACCTTAGACCTGATGTCTTTTTTTTCACTCTAGAAAAAAGTGACCTCAGACTTGAGGTCGGATTTTTTCACTATAGAAAAAAGTGACCACAGACCTGAGGTCGGATTTTTTCACTATAGAAAAAAGTGATCTCAAACCTGAGGTCGGATTTTTTCACTATAGAAAAAAGTGATTTCAGACCAGAGATCGGATTTTTTCACTATAGAAACCTCAGACCTGTGGTCAGATTTTTTCACTACAGAAGAAAGTGACCTCAGACCTGAGGTCGGATTTATTTCTATAGGAAAAAAGTGACCTCAGACCTGAGGTCGGATTTTTTCACTACAGAAAAAAGAGACCTCAGACCTGAGGTCGCATTATTATCTATAGGAAAAAAGTGATCTCAGACCTAAGGTCAGATTTTTTTCTATAGGAAAAAAGTGACTTCAGACCCGAGGTCGGATTTTTTTCTATAGGAAAAAAGTGACTTCAAACCTGAGATCGGATTTTTTCACTATAGAAAAAGGTGACCTCAGACCTGAGGTCGGATTTTTTCACTATAGAAAAAAGTGACCTCAGACCTGAGGTCGGATTATTTCACTACAGAAAAAAGTGACCTCAGACCTGAGGTCGGATTTTTTCTATAGGAAAAAAGTGACATCACACCTGAGGTCAGATTTTTTCACTATAGGAAAAAAATGACCTCAGACCTGAGGTCGGATTTTTTTTCTATAGGAAAAAAATGACCTCAGACCTGAGGTCGGATTTTTTCTATAGGAAAAAAATGACCTCAGACCTAAGGTCGGATTTTTTCTATAGGAAAAAAATGACCTCAAACCTGAGGTCGGATTTTTTCTATAGGAAAAAAAGACCTCAGACCTAAGGTCGGATTTTTTTCTATAGAAAAAAGTAACCTAAGATTTGAGGTCGCATTTTTTTTTTTAAATGTAACCCCAGATCTGAGGTCGGAATTTTTTCACTATAGAAAAAAGTGACCTCAGACCTGAGGTCCGACTTTTTTCTATAGAAAAAAGTGAACTCAGACATGGGGTTTGCATTTTTTTCTGTAGCAAAAAATGACCTGATGTCGGATTTGTTTTTAATTTTATTTTTTGTTTTTAATTTATTAATTGAATTAGAATGTACGTACGCCTTGGAGAACATCGAAAGAGTACTGCCATAGATTGCGTTAAATTGGGACCAAAGACAACATGTGCCCCTGAGCCTCTTGAAGTGGGCATTCAGGACTTTATTCTGCATGAAAACTATCGTTCGGTTTACAATGACATCGCCTTATTACGTTTAGAGCGGAAAGTGGCGCCCGATGGTAAGTATCCAATTTTATTCATATTCTTAACAAGCCTTAGCCAATTGCAAAAAATCGTGTATTTCAAGTTCACATCAAACCCATTTGCTTGCCCATATATGAGAATCTGCGCTCACTCGAACATGAACAATATGTAATATCCGGTTGGGGAAGAACCGAAACAGGTTGGTATTGATGCTAAAATTGAAAATATTTTAATGACTAAATAACTATTTTTAAATTTGTAGGAGCATCTTCGGATGTTCTGCGCGTTGCCATAGTACCGCACGTTGATGTTGCCACATGTCAAAATTATTTGAGACCATTTGGCCTAACCTATCAGCTAAATAGTACTCACATCTGTGCTGGAGCTAAAAATTTGGTTGATACCTGTAAAGGTGATTCGGGCGGTCCGCTGGGTTACACCGACATCTACAATGGTTCGTCGCGGTTTGTCCAGTACGGAGTGGTATCGGTTGGTGTTTCGAATTGCGGCGAACGAAATGTACCGGGAATCTATGCCAACGTCTCTCATTATATGCAATGGATAACAGATCACGTAAGGCCCGAGTAATTTTGTCGAAATTATTTGGACAACTTTTTCAAAAAAAAAAAAAAAAATAAATAAATAAATTAAAATAAAATATTTTTAAAACGATAAAAAATTGTAGAAATCTATGTTTCAACGATAAAACATTTCATTCAACGTTAATAAAAATTCGTCAAATGTTAAAAAAATTAAAAAAAAAAAATAAAATTGATCTCAAATTAGTGCTCTGTTCCAGAACAGCAAGAATGTAAAACATATCTACTTCCATAACATATTTTTAATTTATGATATTGAAAAAAATAGAAACACATTAATAGCAAAACTAGTAGATTCTCTCAGGTCTTAGAACAGAGCATATGTTTGTAATTTTCTTGATCATTTTTCAAAATTTTTATTAGAAAAAGAAGCTGAAATCCCTTAAAAAATTTTTTATAGAAAACATCCTACAAAACTTTTCTAATTTAATTTTTTTAATAAACGAATTATTTTGTGAGCCACTGTATATGCAAATACAGGGAGAGATAAAAAAACCGTAACAAAGTCATACACCATAATTTTTAATTTTTTTTTTAAATTTTATTGAATGAAAGCAAAAAATGTCGGAAATAGCATCAAATTTTAGAATAAGCTTAGATTTGTTCGTATTGGTCACCATTGGCACAAATTACGGCCAATGAAACCGTCACTCCCTGCCCGGATGTTGCTCTGCGGTATTTTGGCCCATTTCCGGCAAAGCGCTTGATAGAGATGATCCACACATTGGTATTTTTTAGTGCCAACCTTGCTTTCCAAAATACTCCAGACAACGGATTGGTATCCGGAGATTTTGGTGGCTATTGTGCGCTGGTAATGAAGCGAGGAACCTCATTCTGTAACCATTCTTAAGTGGCGCGTGCTGAGTGCGAAAGCAAAAAATGTCGGAAATAGCATCAAATTTTAGAATTAGTTTAGATTTTTTTCGAATTGGTCTCTTTCGGCACGAATTATGGCCTTCAAATGGCTAATGAAACCGTCACACGCTGCCAGAATGTTTCTCTGCGGTGTTTTGGCCCATTCCCGCCGAAGCGCTTGCTTGAGGTGATCGACACTTTGGTATTTTTTAGTGCCAACTTTGCTTTCCAAAATACTCCAGACACAACAGTCCAATGGATTGGTATCAGGAGATTTTGGTGGCCATTGTGCGCTGGAAATGAAACGAGGAACCTCATTTTGTAACCATTCTTGGGTGGCACGTGCTGAGTGCGATGGTGCTGAGTGCTTTTGGAATATCCAAGGTCTGCGGCCAAAAAGGTTTGCGTGCCCAAGGCTTTAATACACCCCTCAGAATATTTTCGCGATAATATTCGGCATTCGTTCTGATGCCACGGTCGATTAATACGAGCGAAAAGACCATTGGCTGTTATAGCGGCCCACACCATCACCATGGCCGGCGCTTGAGATCTGGTGGCCAACCGAAGGTGCATATTTTCAGCTGACCTCTTCGGCAAGTAAACACGATCATTTTGTTTGTTTACAAACTGCTGGACAACGAATGTTTTCTCATCGGAGATAACCAATTTCGGCCTAGCGAAGCAACTCTTTAGCTTTTTGAGTCTATTTTCTTTCTGTGGCGGTGTAAGTTCTTGCACTTTTTGCAATTTCAATGGCTTTGCCCGAGCTCATTTTTCAATATTTGCCGAATGCAATATTGCGCTATGTTCAGCTCACGAGACATTTTTCGGCCAATGCGACGCGGGTTTCGATCAAGTCGCTTCTTTACTTTTCGATCCATTTCTGCTGATGTTGTTGTTTTTTTCCGTCCACTTCCTTGACGTCGGGTTATGCTACCAGTATCACGCTTGAATTCTATCACGAATAACTTTTTTTCTGGAAAATTTTCACAAAAATGCTTTTGTACGCTTGTAAACAATAGATTGAGCTGTCACTGGAATCACTTTAACAGCTGTCGGATGAGTGGCTTAGAAATGACGGTAGTCTGAAGTTGAATGCAGTTTTTTCATCTCACCTTGTTTATACTTTGTGGGGTCTAAAATGTATATTTCGAGTTGTTACAAACGGAATGACAAACTTAATATAACCTCCATACTATGGTGTAGGGTATAAACAAATCCACAAAAATTGCATACATAGAGAGGACTTTCCTTCCTAATTTAAATTTTTGTGTTAAACGAATTTTTTGGTGAACCATTTAATGTTACAATTACGGGTAAGTACGTTTGTCTGTATATGCCTAAAGTTAAATCTCTAGTAATGCTGCTGGGAATGAAATCAATTAACGATTTTCTTAAAAATGCTTATTTCTTAAGAAGCTCAGAAGATAATTCTTCAACCCATCCAATATTAATTTAAAATAAATATAAGTCCACATAATTAATTTTCTAGATACACGAAGATGATACAATTCCGAAGACAACAGTTGGGCCAACAAAAACCCCAGAAACAACAGAAATTAATTCTAGATCTCCAGGTATGTAATCGACTACAAACATTAATACTGAACTCCAAACTAATTGAAAATATGGAATATTATGTTTTTATTTTTGGTGCAGAAGAACCATGCCTCACCCCGCTCAATTCCAGTGGTTTTTGTGTCCCTTATTCAAAATGTTCACTATTTCAGCAATGGGATATAAAATACGGTGGCAATTTACCACCAACTATACAGGAGTATATAAAGCGTGCACAGTGTTCCAAAACAGACGATAATTTGGTAAGTAATTAAAAAAAACAAGTTAAAAAGCAGTATACCCTCCACCATATGAAACGAATTTGAAATTTTTCAAAAAAGAAAATCTTTAAAAATTTCTGTTAAAATTTTAAAAATACCCAATATAGCCGTTATATTGGGGTCTATACGACGTGGACCTACATAGACATTGTTTGTTGTAAGCCATTACCATATTCAATTTCGAAACATGAAATAAACGGTGAATAATGTAGCTAAAATCATCAAAATATCATATATAGGGAGGTACTGTTATATCGGAGCTGTGCGAACACCTGAACCAGCATAGACAATTTTCTGTCACAGTCTGTAGCATCCATTACTAACTTCAAATACGACATCTCAAACAATTTCGGTGGGTTTTGTACCTAAACTCGTAAAAATACCGAATATAGGGAAGTACTGATATATGGGGCCTATACGAAGACCTGGACCTGCATAGACAATTTTCTGTCACAGACTGTAGTTTCCATTACGAACTCTTAATACGCTAAAATCATCAAAATATCGAATATTGGGAGGTACCGTTATATGGGGGCTATACGAAGACGTGGACCTGCAATTTTCTGTCACAGGCTATAGTACCAATTACGAAGTGCAAATACCAAATTTTAAAAATTCCGGTGAATAATGTAGCTAAAATCATCAAAATACCGAATATAGCGAGGTACCTATATCTAGGGGCTATGCGAAGACCTGCTTAGACAATTTGCTCTCACAGGCTGTAGTTCTCATTAAGAACTTCAAATACGAAATTGAAACAATTCCCGTGAATAAAGTCGCTAAAATTATCAAAATACCGAATATAGGAAGGTACCGATATTTAGGGGCTTTACAAAGACCTGGTAATGCATGGACAATTCTCTGTTATACACTGTAGTACCTATTAGGAAATTCAAACACGAAATATGAAACAAATCTGGTGAAACATGTCCCTAAAATCGTCAAAATATCGAATATCGAGGGGTAGCATTGTATGTGGGTTATACGATATTGTGGACCTATATGGACATGGGTAAAGTGCTTTGAAAGATCTTTTAGTATGCATTTTTAGATAATTCCATTGGATGTAGTGGACCTATATAGGAAATACTATTCTTGAGGGTAATGTACTCAGGAACACCTTCTGTTGATGTTCAAATAATTTCACTGAAAAATTTGGCTAAAATCATCAAAATGCCGAATATCGGGAGGTACCGTTATATAGGGGCTATACGATATCGTGGACTGATCTTCGAACTTGACCTGCCTGCAGACAAAAGACCGATCTGTGCAAAATTTTAGTTTCTTATCTTATTCGTTTTGACTCTAGAGTGATTGCAACAGACTGACAGACGGACGGACGGCCGGATGGACAAGGCTAAATCGTCTTAAGATTTTACGCTGACCAAGCTTATATGTACGTCTAAAAAATAACAGTATGACTAAAACTAAAGGAGTACTTGACAAAGGAGGAGTCTGCTCGAATTCAAGAGAACTTTACTTCCACTCAAAGTAGAGAGTAGAGAGTAAAACTCGTTTGGAGATCTGGTTAAAACATGGGAATCTAAGGGTGGCAAGACTAGGAAACCCAGGGTTTTTCAAGAGGTGAAGACACAAGGAATTGGAGGGTAGAAAGGTGAAATGGATGAAATTTAAGAAAACTAGGTACAAATACCTTGGTTGGTTTGGGCAAAACGACCTAAAGGATCAAATTACGAGGATCCGTGGACTGTGCACACTCAAGGAGTTAAGACACTTTCAATTGAAGGGTTGCAAAAGCTTTAAGCTAGAGTTGCAAATATCCCAAGGGATGAAGAGGAGCATAAGGTTCGCGAACACCATAAGATGTTAAAATGCAAGTACTCAAGGGTTGCGAATAGAGTTGTGTCAATCTAGTTCATAGTTCAGCACACCAGTTCCTAAACGTATGAGTGATTTCACACAAACGAACGGATCCCACGGATTTTTATTAATTTAAATTTTATATTAAATCTAATTTAAAAAAAAAAAAAACATTTGAAACCAGTATAGAAAGTCTTAAAGTCGGGCGGGGCCGACTTTATGATACCCTACACCACTTTGCTAATTTACTAGAGCTCCGCATAATAATTAAACGTAGTGCATATTACGGCTGTGGGTAAAAAATATTTCATCTGGATAGGGCGATAAATGCGATCTGTACTTTTTTTTACAAAAATACATGAACAGACAGACGGACGGACGGACATGCATAAACGACTTAGAATGTGATTCTATGGCGATCATCAAAAGGAACTATGGGTCTATCTCGTTTTCTTTTGCCTGTTACAAACAAATGCACAAAGACATAATACCCTGACCACCTTGTGGTGTGGGGTATAAAAAAAAATAATTAAAAATATTATAAGGGAATTTTGCCGTGTGCACTTCTTACTCAGCTATGGATTGGTCACGTATGAAGGGGTCCAACTTCCGATTAAAAATCTAATATTTTCCACTTTCACGCACAAATACTTCAAGGATTACGTCTTTCCAAAAATGTTGTAATAATAAAAATCCTATCATTATTACATTTCAGGATGTCATTACTTACAGTTTAGTATTCCATAAAAATAATCTAATATCGTAACTTCTCTGTAAATTCCAGATACTTTACTGTTGCGAACCAGAGACAATTGTGACAGCGCCAATTAAAGAGAGGAGTGGAAATGGTTTGAACTTGTATTTAAATCCCATGCAAGATTTTCATAGTCAATTGAATGTTGAAGGTATTGAAAATATTCTCCATTAAAGAGTACAGTTTCTATTTTACTATTATTTGTCCCATGTAGGTTTCGATATCCTAAGTGGCCAACGCTGTGGCACAGATAATGGAAATCGCATTGCCGGCGGTAATATCACAATGTTGGCCGAATTCCCATGGATGGCTCTGTTGATTTATCAGGGTCCATCGGGTGAAGAATTCCGATGCGGTGGTTCATTGATAACGAATCGTTATGTGCTGACAGCAGCACATTGTTTGAGAATTGCATATCCATTGTAAGTGATTATTATTGGATATTTTGAATAATATTGAATATTTATCGACATTTATCAGTTTTAAAATTGATTAGAAATTTAGATTACAAAATTAGAATTTACACCTCCGAATTTCTGTGTAATATTTTCGTGAGGAATTCGAAATATTAAAATAAAAATAATTGAAAATGTTGACAATGACATATAAATACTTTTTTAGGGATTTTACATTGAAAACTATTGAATTTGCTCCCACTCAAAATCTACACGAATATATTTTCGCAATTTTTAAAATTTTTTTCTTTGTTAATTTTAAAAAAAATTTCAGAATTTATCGTTCGAGAACACACAATGTATTAGTTTTTAGTAATTGTGTATATTATCTTTTTTCCGAACAGAATTGGTGTACGCCTTGGCGAATATAACACCTCCACCGAAGAAGATTGCATGAAAATGGGACCAAAATTGAAATGCAACCCGCCAGCGGAAACTTTTGGTGTAGAAACAACTATATTGCATCCGGAATACAATAGACGTGAACGTGTCAATGATATAGCCCTAATCAAATTGGATCGAAATGTGGAATTTAAAAGTGAGTAGGAAAACTTGACTTATTTGTTAAGAACTAATCGGTAGGAACTTTGTATACCCTTTACCACGATAATATGAAAACCGTGGAAAATATGACGGACATTTCACATTTTCCCACAAAAAGTTTTTGACTAAGTTTTTGATATATACGATATGCAGTTGATATACGATATAAAGTTGCGTCTGCAAGTAATAAATAGTAATAATTGTTTCGATGTCGTAAAATCGGTTGTCGGAGTAATTTTTTTAGTTTCAGGTTCAGGAACATTACATAGAAAAACTGTGATCTATTCCAGAATCTGTAATAATTTAAAAATTTTACTGTGATAACCCGTTTTTCCAATATGTTATCGACAAAAATTGCAAAAGTGGTAGATCCTTGCAGGTTCTGACACAGAGTACTGATTATTGTTTAATCCCTCAACCATATGGCTACACAGTGTATATATCATTTGATACGGCCAAAACACGCCTCATCGAAATTACGGTTTTAGACCTTAGGTCACTTTGGACCAAATCCGTTTCTGGAGATTTGGAATCGATCTAGGGGTGTCCATTCGTCTGTCTGGCTGATGCGCACATTAACTTTCGAAGGGAGTATACGATTTGGCCCAAGCTTGGTACATTGTAATATAATAGTCAAACTTAGATCGAGTTCGGAGATGGGCAATATCGGACAACTCTTTGTGATACTTCCTCCACAAAAGGTCGAAATTTAAAAAAAAAAAAAAAATTTGACTACACTGAAAGAGAAATTATAATCCGTTGTTTCTTCAACTTTGCAAATCCTAATATTTATATCAGTGCTGGGTCAGGTTCGAAAATGGACAATATCGATCCAATCCATCAAATACATCCCCCACAAAGGGTCAAAATTTTGAATAATTATAACTCTTATGATATAAGAGTCTCTTTTATGATATAAGAGTCCGTTTTAAAGGGTCAAAGTTTTGAATAACCAAAACGATTATAAAATCCGAAATAAGCATCCGGTTCTCTTCATACTTCACACATCTTATTATTTCAACCAAATCAAGACCTTTTGTGAAGATGGAATATATCGTTCCACTCCTTCTGGTACCACCCCCACAAAGTGTCGACATTTTGAATAATTATAACTCTTATAAAATATGAAATAAGAGTTCGATTGTCTTCAAATTTCACAGTTTTAATAACCCCTGGTTTTGAGTATTCATGAAACTCATAAAACGCAAAATTAACATCGGATTCCATTCAGGCCTGGCACATCTTAATATTTCTATCAACACAAGATCTGTTATAAAGATGGTAGAAATCCAACCGTTCCTTCTGGTACCTCCCCCCACAAAGGATCAAAGTTTTGAATAACCAAACGATTATAAAATCCGAAATAAGAATCTGGTTGTCTTCGTATTTCATCTCATATCTCATTATTTCTACTAACACATGATCTGCTGAGAAGAGGGGATATATCGGCCCACTTCTTCTGGTACCTCCCTCACAAAAGGTCAAAGTTTTAAATATCCATGAAACTCATAAAACGCGATATTAATAGCCGATTCCATTCAGACTTGGCACATGTCAATATTTTCCATCAACACAAAATCGGTTATAAAGATGGTAGAGATGCGGCCCTTCCTTCTGGTACCACCCCCACGAGGGTCAAAGTTTTGAATAATCAAAACGATTATAAAATCCAAAATGAACATCCGATTTTCTTCATATTTCACTAACACAAGATCTTCTGTGTAGATGGGATATATCGGCCCACTTCTTCTGGCACCTCCCCCAAAAAGGGTCAACATTTTTGAATATCCATGAAGCCCACATGTAGTCTTTGTACATCTCAATATTTCCATCAACACAACGTCTGTTTTAAAGATGGTAGAGATCGAACCATTTCTTGTCGTACCTTCATCTGTTTTGGTACTTTTCATCTGTATTAGGTTAAGTGTGAAAATGAAATACTTCGGTCAGCTATTGGTCTGTTCCACAACTGCAAGAATGTAACATTTTTTACTGCGATAACCGATGTTCCCTTTATGATAACGAAAAAATTGCGAAAATAGTATATTCTCCTAGGTTGTGGAACAGAGCATGTGTCTGGTAACTGATGCACATTTCAACATCATCACATATCTCATACAAAGTGAAGGAAGTACTCGATATAGTCCAAACCTGGTAGGGCAGAATATTTATATCATATTTATCTAGATCCGATACGAAATGGACAACATTGGCCCATTCCTTCGGAACCTATTCCAGAGAGGGTCAACAATTTAAATATACTTCACAGAAGTCGAAATATATTTAAATAATCGAACATTGGCGGAGGCTATACATGTGTAGGTAAAATGACTTATAATTTTTTAATTGTTATCTGTAGATGAAGTATGAAGATTTAATATCTCGGTCGACTATACCTGGTACCTCATGCACATTTTAACATCTTCTAAAAATAAACACATCTCTCATATAAAGTGAAGGAAGTAGTCGATGTGGTCCAAATATGGCACGTCGCAATATTCATATTATATTTATCTAGGTCCGACACGAAGTGGTCAACATTGGTCCATTCCTTCTGAACCAATACTTGGGCCTTTATAGTATTCTTACAGGTACTGTGACAGAGCAAGAGTTGAAGTCCTTTAACTTCGTTGTATTTTCTCTATTTCTCTCTCTCTCTCTCTCTCCATCCCTTTCCATTGCATTTGTATGAAATTAACAATTTTAATATTTTTTTATTCCCTCCAGAACACATTGAACCCATTTGCCTGCCAATTTATTCCAATATTGTGTGGACTCAGACCGATGATGATTTCCTAATTGCTGGTTGGGGCTACATGGAAGACGGTATGTAACAAAATATTCTCAAAATATTTTTTCTCTAAATTTTAAAAATAATACCATTACCTCCTCTAGGACATGCCTCGAATGTTTTACTTAAGGCACAAATAAAACAACTCCCCATCAACAAATGCAGCGAAGCCTATTCGATTGATGCCAGTAAATTTCGTTACTTGTGTGCTGGGGACGAAGAGCTAGGACGCGATACATGTCGCGGTGACAGTGGTGGACCGCTGATACAATTTGCTCCATACAATAATCGAAGGCGTTTCATCCAGTATGGGGTGGTGGCAATTGGTAGGAATGCGTGTAAATTGACTTCGACGTTACCTGGTGCCTATACCCATGTTAGCTATTATATGCCATGGATCACAAATAACATTGTGAATTAAAATGGGTGGAGTTTAGTAAAATTTAGATTTAAATATATATGTATGCAATAGTTATTAAGAAAATAAATTTATTTTATAATAAATAAAAGTCATAGGGTATTTTTGTTTTTAATTTTACCCGTGATTGATTCTCTCTCTCTAAATCTTATCCCTTTAAACCTTAGAGGGATTGCAAGACCTGGCATATTCAGGATCTTCATAGGAACCAACTAAACTATATGGAATAATAGACCACATAGATTTTGATAACATTTGATTCTGATCTTTTCCGACGTAGCTATACAGGGTGAGATAAAAAAAAACCTGCAACAAAGTCAAACGCCATATATTTCACATATTTTTTAATTTTATTGAATGAAAGCAAAAAATGTCGGAAATAGAATCAAATTTTAGAATAACTTTACATTTGTTCGAATTGGTCACCTTTGGCACGAATTATGGCCTTTAGACGGCCAATGAATGTTGCTCTGCGGTATTTTGCTCTACCCGAACGTTGCACGAATTATGGCCTTCAGACGGCCAATGAATGTTGCTCTGCGGTATTTTGCCCTGCCCGAAGGTTGCTCTGCCGAATTTTGGTCCATTCCAGACGAGACGTCCGCTTGAGGTGATCGATACTTTGGTATTTTTTATTGCCAACATTGATTTCCAAAATATTCCAGACACAATAGTCCAACGGATTGATATCCGGAGATTTTCGTGGCCATTGCGTGCTGGAAATGAAGCGAGGAACCTCATTTTGTAATCATTCTTGGGTGGCGTGTGCTGAGTCCTTTTGGAATGTCCAAGGTATGCGGCCAAAATATATGCGTGCCCGAGGCTTTTTAATACACCCTCCACAATATTTTTGCGATAATATTCGGTATTTTTTCTGATGCCACGGTCGATTAATACGAGCGGAGACCGACCATCGGCAGTTATGGCGGCCCACACCATCAACATGGCCGGCGCTTGAGTTCTGGTGGCCAACCGAAGGTGCGCATTTTCAGCTGACCTCTTCGGCAAGTAAACACGATCATTTTGTTTGTTTACAATCTGCTGGACAACGAATGATTTCTCATCGGAGAAAACCAAATTCGGCACTTCACCACTTTCGGCCAAACGAAGCAAGTCTTTAGCTCTTTATACCCTACACCACAAGGTAGTCAGGGTATTATGTCTTTGTGCATTTGTTTGTAACAGGCAAAAGGAAACGAGATAGACCCATAGTTCCTTTTGATGATCTGCACAGAATCACATTCTGAGTCGATTTATGCATGTCCGTCCGTCTGTCCATGTATTTTTGTAAACAAAGTACAGTTCGCATTTATTACCCGATCCAGATGAAATTTTGCACAAATCATTTGTTTGGCCCAAGGACGAACCCTATTGAAATTGGAGATAATCGGTTAAAATTTAGATATAGCTCCCATATATATCTTCGTCCGATTTGCCTTTTTATTGTGCACCAAACGTGTAATATCAGTCCGAATAAAATGGAATTTTGCACGTATGATCAGATTGGACCTGAAAATAAGTATGCCAAATTTGATCGAAATCGGTTCAGATATAGCTATAGCTCCCATATATATTGTTCATCCGATTTGTTATTTTTGTCCTCCGCAGCCGTAATATGCACTCTGTAACAACAATATTTCGGGAAATATATCAAATACAGCTCAGAAATACATTTGCTGAATTTTATCGAGATCGGTTCAGATTTGGATATAGCTCCCATATATAACTTCGTACGATTTACCTTGGATTGTGCACCAAACGTCTAATATTTGCACAAATTGAATGAAATTTGGCACTTACCACCGAATTGAGTCTAGAAGCTAGTATGTCAAATTTAGTGAAGATCGGTTCAGATATAGCTATAGCACCCATATATACTGTTCATCCGATTTGTCATATATGTTACCCACAGCCGTAATATGCACTCCGTAACAACGATATTCAGGGAAATATATTAAATACAGCTCAGAAATATCTTTGCCAAATTTTATCGAGATCGGTTCCGGTTTGGCTCCCATATATATTTTTATCCGATTTCAAATTAATTGTTTACCAAATGGGCAATACAAGTCCGAATTTAAAAGATACAAATGTTCGGCATATTTAGTTCTTTGATCTTTATATTATAATCATAGCGTGTATGATTGAATTCTCCACATAAAAACTTTTAATTGTTATGCGCAGCTCTACTAAGTTAGCAAAGTGGTGTAGGGTATCATAAAGTCTGTAGCAGTGTAAGTTCTTGAACTTTTTAGAATTTCAATGGCTTTACCCCGAGCTCATTTTCCAATATTTGCCAAATGGAATATTGCCATATGTTCAGCTCACTAGCCATCTTTCGGCCACTGCGAAGAGGGTTTCCCTCAAGTCGCTTCTTTACTTTTCGAACTATTTCTGCTGATGTTGCTCTTTTTTTCCGTCCACTTCCTTGATGTCGGGCTACGTTACCAGTATGACGCTAACGAGCGATGGTACGAGACACAAAAGATTTATTCGCATTTAAATGCTGGAGTGATCTAACGACAGCCACTTGTGGTTTTCCAGCCAATTATAAAGAAATCACACTATCACGCTTGAATTTCATCACGAATAACTTTTTTTCTGGAAAATATAAAATAAATCAGGAAGATATATGACCGCTACTCTGATATATTTTGAAATAAACAAAGTGAGTCACAAGCTGTGGTAAACGCACCGCACAGCTTCATGTGAAACCTAAAGGGTAACCGTTTTGACAAGACGTGAGACAAATTAGGATTCTAAATAGGATTGATGTAAATTTTAATCAAGAAGAATTAATAACAATGGGCCAACGACATTGAACATTTTCTATCACACCAATCTCACTCCCTCTACATCTTCATTTTCATTCATCTGTTTGAGAAGAAAGAATACCAGTTCGATTTGAATAAAATGCAAGTCAAGTTAGGAGTGCCGGTTTTGGCTAAGGGAGAAAGATGTGTGTGTTTGTGTGCGTGTGTGCGGAGATTAATTCAAACAATTTGTAAACTGAGAGATTTGCCCCACCACTACTCACTTATAAACAAAACCACCTGTTCGCAAGCGGCACAGTCTACCGGTGAACATTAACCGCTCAACATTGATCAACAAACAACAAATAATTCACGGCCAAAGTCATGAATGTTTTAATAAATCTGGTTTATTGCAGTGTCGTCGTTGTTGTTGTTATTTTTGCTGTAACAATAAGTTCGGTGAAAACCCGTAAGTGACAAAGAAAGTTTTGTGTGCGAAAATTTACAAATATTAAAAAAAAAATCATATTTACAGAAGAATTATGCCGCATGCCAAATAATTCGCCAGGAACTTGTGTTCCTTTCAATCAGTGCAGCTTTGTAAAGAGATTGCATGAAAGGTACCAGGGAAATGTTCCGCAAGCATTCTATCCATACATCCAGAAATTAAAATGTTCGAGGGACAATGAACCGGTGGTGAGTACTAAAATGTGAAATGTCTTAAGGCGGTGATTAAAAAATCGGCCATCAAGAAGCAATGAAATATTTTATTGCTAAAGAAAAGTGCTTATGCGCGAGAGATTTGTTAGGGAAATAAGTCTTTTATACATTTTGAGGAAGTAACAAATAAAAAGTAGCTACCATTTTGAAGGAACTTCAAAAATTTCAAAAAAAAATCCGTAAAAGAATATCTCTCAAATTAAACCCCTTATATGGAGGCTACACGAAGACGTTTTCCTTCATATGTAGAGCTTATTACGAAGTTCATTTACAAAATCAAACAACAAAGTCAAACGCCATAATTTTCAAATTTATTGAATGAAAGCAAAAAATGTCGGAAATCGCGTCAAATTTTAGAATAAGTTTAAATTTTTGGAATTGGTCACCTTTGGTACGAATTATGGCCTTCAAGCGGCCAATGAAACTGTCACACGCTGCCGGAATGTTGATCTGCGGTATTTTGGCCCATTCCCAGCAAATTTGGAATTTGTGATGGAATTTACTCTTAAAATTTATTTGCCAAATTACATTGAAATCGCTTCAGATTTGATATAGCTCCCTTATATATTTTCTGCCGATTTCATGTTTTTGATGCATCAAACACGCTATGTATCTCCAATTTCAATGAAATTTGGAATGTGAAATGGAATTCAGTCTTAAAATTTATTTGTTTCAGATTTGGATATATAGCTCACATATATATTTTCGGTTCATATTTTTGATGCTCAAAACATGTTATATGTCTCCTAATTCAATGTAAAACTGGAAATAAATTTGTAAAATTATATTAAAATCGGTACAGATTTGGATATAGTATTTGATGCACCAACACGCTATATATGTCAAACTTTAATAAAGATTGAAAGGTATGACAGAATTTGGCTAAATAGCCTAACAGTAAAAAAACTAAAAGAATTAGCATGATCCTGCTTTAAATTCTTAAATTTGTTTAATTTTTTTTAAACTACAAAATATTTGTATATAAAATTTTGAATGCACATAAAAGCAAAAGGGTTAGCGAAGCGCACCGGGTTCAGCTAGTGTCTTATAAACATACATGTATACGTGACTTTTTATAGCTAGATTAAACCAGGAGGGAAAAACCATTCAGATAAACGGGGAATATCCATGCGATTATATTTTGCAGTGGTTGTTGTGCATATTTTTAGTTTTGTTGTGATTAAAAAAAAATATGTGTCATTGCACTAACATAAAAATGTGAAGGGAAGTGAGGTATGCAATATTTACGGTTGCATGGGAATTCAATGTTAATATAAAATTTTGGTTTCCAAGATGGTACGTGACCTCCACAGAGTTGTGGTTAATACTATACATAGCATGTCAGGCCAATGGAAATAGAATTATCCAGTTGCAACTGGAAAACATAGCATTAAACATCCGTCAAGAGTTAGTGAGACATTTAAAAAAATAAATCTATAACTTTGTCCACACAACGTTTTGGCGTTTGACTTTGTTGCAGTTTTTTATCTCACCCTGTATATAGGCCCTATATAATGATACTTCCTAATTTTTGGTATTATACAGGGTTTTTTTTTAAAAACTTATTATTTGGTATATTGCCAGTATAAAACCACCTATAACGTAGGTATCTGCAGGCGGCAATGGGATCCCCAAAATCAGAGATAAATTCAAAGGAGGCGTTGCTCGAATTCATATGATTCTCTTTTTTATACCCTTAACCATATGGCTACATCATTCGATACGATACAAACGTGCCGAGTCGAAATAACGGTTTTAGACCCTAGGACATTTGGAGTCGATCTAGCGATGGCGTCCGTCCGTCTGTGTGGCTGGTGCGAACGATAACTCTCGAAGGGAGAATCCGATTTCCACCAAACTTGGTACATCAAAATATTTTTGTCAAACGAAGATCGAGGTCGGAGATGGGCAACATCGGTCCACTCCTTCTGCTACCTCCCCCACAAAAGGACAACATTTTCATAGAAAATAATTTACCACATAAGACAAGATCGGAGTACTTCTTCTAGTAACTCCCCCGCAAAGGGTGCAAATTTTGAATAGCTAAAATGCTCATAAAATCTGAAATGGGTCAAAATTTGGAATATCTAAAACGATGCAAATTTTCTTATAATTTCATTTTTATATAGATCAAAACCTCAAAAGAGTTTCGAATTCGGATTTTCGGATAGACCACAAAATTTTCTATAGGATCATATACAAACATACATACATATTTCGCAACATTTGGTATTTGACGTAGGTAGGCTATTATCTATTCAAACTTTGGATTTTATCTCCAAATGCATTTTATTAACCTACAAAGAACATCAAATTATTGCAAAGGTTTATAGGAACATTCTATGGCTCACATAAAAACCATTAACGAACTTCTTCATGAGTAAAAAAATGTAATCCTCTTTCATTAAAATCCAACTACAGCTCTTAGTCACAGCTATTCACAACCATACAGGGTGAGATAAAAAAACAGCAACAAAGTCAAAAGCCATAATTTTTACATTTTTTTTTAATTTTATTGAATGAAAACAAAAAAATGTCGGATACAACATCAAATTTAAGATTAAGTCCAGATTTGTTCGAATTGGTCACCTTTGGCACGAATTATGGCCTTCAAACGACCAATGAAACCGTCACGCGCTGCACGAATGTTGCTCTGCTGTATTTTGGCCCATTCCCGGCGAATCTCGACACTTTGGTATTTTTCAGTGCCAACATTGCTTTCCAAAATACTTCAGATACAATAGTTCAACGGATTGATATCCGGAGGTTTTTGTAACCATTGTGCGCTGGAAATGAAGCGAAGAACCTAATATTGTAACCATTCTTGGGTGGCGCGTGCTGAGTGCGATGGTGCTGGGTCCTGTTGGAATGTCCAAAGTCTGCGGCAAAAATGTTTGCGTGCCCAAGGCTTTAATACACCCTCCAGCTCACGAGCAATTTTTCGGCCACTGCGACGCGGGTATCGATCAAGTCGCTTCTTTACTTTTCGAACAATTTCTGATGATGTTGCTGCTTTCTTTCAAAATGCTTTTGTACGCTTGTAAACAATATAATGAGATGTCACTGGAATAATTTTAACAGCTGTCGGACGAGTTGGTTGCATTTTTTATCTCACCCTGTACACTAGTTTTCATGGTAAATGTTATAACAAATCCTTATTTTTTTCAATTTTTCTAGGTACGCCTTTGTTGCGAACCTGATACGATTCTGAGACCCACAACAGCAACAACTCAACCGAGTACGGGAAGTATCAATTATTTATCATTAAATACCATGCAAGATTATCAAAGTCAATTGAATGCGGCAGGTATTTACATATAACTTCATTATATTAAATAATATTATGCGTAACTAATCTTCTCAAATATCTTCCGATTGCAGGCTTTAATATTCTTAATGGACAGCGCTGTGGTACAGACAATGGAAATCGCATTGCCGGTGGTAATGTCACAATGTTGGCCGAATTTCCATGGATGGCTCTGTTGAAATATCGTGGTCCATCGGGTGATCAATTTCGTTGTGGTGGTTCGTTGATAACCAATCGTTATGTGCTGACAGCAGCACATTGTGTGAACACAGTGGATCCAGTGTAAGTGTTAAATTAAAACAAAGAAACAATTGAGACCATCAGTTTATGCGACAATGCCTTGTAGAATTTGGCGGGGTATTTCAAATCGCCTTTAAAATCGTAAACAAAAACCAGTAAAGAAAGTCCTAAAGTCGGGGGAGGCCGACTTTATGACACCCTACACCACTTTGCTAATTTAGTAGAGTTCCGCATAACAATTAAAAGTTTTTTTTTTATGGGAGAATTCAATAATACACGCTATGATTAGAATTATAATTTAAAGTTCAAAAGACTAAATATGCCGAAGCATTTGTATCTTTTAAATTCGGACTTGTATTGCCCATTTGATATCTATGGGAGCTATATCCAAATCTGAATCGATCTCGATAAAATTTGGCAAAGATATTTCTGAGCTGTATTTGATATATTTCCCTGAATATTTTTTTTACGGAGTGCATATTACGGCTGTGGGTAACAAATATAAAAAATCGGATGAAGATCTTCACCAAAATTTGACATACTAGCTTCTAGACTCAATTCGGTCGTAAGTGCCAAATTCCATCCCATTTGGAAAAATATTAGACGTTTGGTACACAATGATACGTAAATCGGTCGAAGTTTTATATGGGAGCTATATCCAAATCTGAACCGATCTCGACAAAATTTGGCATACTTATTTTCAGGCCTAATTTGACTGTTTGTGCAAAATTTCATACTATTCGGGCTGATATTACACGTTTGGTACACAATAAAAAGCAAATCGGACGAAGATATATATGGGACCTATATCTAAATTTTGACCGATTATCTCCAATTTGATTATGGTTCGTCCTTGGGCCAAACAAATGTTGTTCGGAAAACTTCATCTCAATCGGATAATAAATGCGACCTGCATTTTGTTCACAAGAATACATGGACGGACGGACAGATGGACGGACATGCATAAATCGACCCGGAATGTGATTCTATGCAGATCATCAAAAGGAACTTAGGTCTATCTCGTTTCCTTTTGCCTGTTACAAACAAATGCACAAAGACATAATATTCTGACCACCTTGTGGTGTAGGGTATAAAGATACATTGTGAGTCAACATTTTTTTTTTTTTTGTAAATTAAGGTTCGGTCTTAGAATTGAAATTAATTCCTGAACGCCGGGTTTATTTAGTCATAAATGTATGTGCATGCGTATGTAATGACGGCTAATGAAATTACCTTGGAATTTCAAATATTCCGAACAAACATGCCAATATCAAGTGGCTAAATATAAAAAATGTATTTTGGAAATTCCGATTTTAAGAATATTTCTGAACCACAAAGAAATCCCTAAAAATTGGATTTTTTTTCTTACTTTGATGCGTCATCGTTAAGGTGAGTGAGTGAGCACACCTTTTTCATTCGGCCTCTTAATGAATGAGAATGAATGAATTTGAACGGATTTTTAGAATTTGCAAGTAATGAAGACATTAAAATTTCAGTTTTTTTTCATAATGATGTTTATCGTTTCAGACTACCTGTCAAATTGTTTAGACAAATTAATCAGAACATTTTATTATTTTCTACAAGGTGTTTTTATTTACATTTCGGATTTATCAAAAAAAAACTTTAGCAATGAACAGCCGGTATTATAAGGTGGGGATGAAAGAGGTTTGGCTCGCTTAACGTTTATTTTTTATGTCGACTTTAAATTTCATCTGAAATTTTAAAACATATCTGATATCTCATATAAAACTTCGTATGTTAAAATATTTGTATCAGACTAAGATCAGATACGTCACTATAGGGTCTCCCTTTATGCTGTAAAGGGTAAATAGTTTCAATTATTATAACCATATAATCTTAAAAAAAGTATGAAAGCAGGCCCGGCTGAACTTTAAATACTCTCCACCATTTTGAAGGTACTTGAAATTTAAAAAAAATAAATTAAATAAATAAATAAAATAAAAAATAAATAAAAAATAAATCCGTGGAAAACCGGTAAGAGTAGGTCAAAAGTCGGACCGACTATGTGACACCCTACACCTCTATGTGGACGAAGTAAATTTAGCAGGTAGGTTCGGCTGTCTCAAATAATACCTTCTACGATTTTGAAGGTAAATGATAATTAAAATAACAAAAATCCGTAGGAACCCGGTTAGAGAAGGTCAAATATCGGACGGGCCGAATTTATGACACCCTACACCACAATGTGGATTTAGTAAATTCGGTTGAAAAATCTAAACCGATCTCGATAAAATTAGGCAGAAGTATTTTCGAGCAGTATTTGATGCCAAGAATCAAAGATCATTGTTGTGAAGTGCATAATACCCATGTGAGGGATCCTAGAATTAAATCGGATGAAACATGTGTATGGGAGCTATAGCTATGTTTGAAACGATTTTCACCAAAATTTGAAGTACTTGTTTCTAGAATGAATTCAGTCGCAATTGCCGAAATTCAGTCCATTTGGGCAGATATTAGCCATTTGGTGCACAATAAAGCTGAAATCGGATAAAGATATATATGGCAGCTATATTCAAATCCGATCTTCACAAAATTTGAAATACTTATTTCAGAGCTGTATCTAATATCTGGTACCATAGATCATTGTTGTGGAGTGAAAATTACACATGTGAGGGACTTAAACAAAAAAGCGGATGAAACATATATATGGGAGCTATAGCTATATCTGAACCGATTTTCACCAAAAAATTTGGACTTGCTTCTAGGCTAAATTCGGTCGGAATTGCCACCCCTAATACGTAGACTATACGAAGAAGTGGTTCTTCATAAATAATTTTTTGTCCTAGGCTGTAGTACCTATTACGAACTTTAAATACAAAAATTTATATAATTCCAATGAATAATGACGCTAAAATAATCGAAATACCGAATATCGGGAGTTATCGTTATATGGGGGCTATGCGAAGACGTGGACCTGCATAGACTTTTTTTGTTATAGGTACCCATTGGGAACTTCAACTACGAAATTTGAAACAATTCCGCATAATAATGGCGCTAAAATAATGAAAATACCGAAATCGTTATATGAGGCCTATATGAAAACCGGAAACTGCATACTCAATTTTTTGTTAGTAACCATCGCGAACTTCAAATACGAAATTTGAAACAATGCCGGTGAACAATGTCGCTAAAATCATCACAATACCGAATATCGGGAGGTTTCATTATATGGGGCTACATGAAAACGTGGACCGGCTTGGCACATTTACGAACTTAACCTGCCTTCTGGCAAAATACAAATATGTGCTAAATTATAGCCTTCTATCCCAATTCGTTCCAAAGATAGCGAGATTACAACAGACAGCCGGACATCGCTAAATCGACTTCGAATATTACGCTGGTCACGAATATATATACTTTGTTGGGTCTGAAATTAGTATTTCGAGTTACAACCGGAATGAGAAAGTTAAGATACCCTAAATAGTACGGTGGAAGTTAAAAAATATTCTACTATTTAATCTTGAGCTGTCACAAAAGTTTATATTATATGCAGGCTGATTGGTATCGAAAATGGAGTATATTGGTCCACGTTTAGGTATAGCACCCATATAACGGTATCTCCCGATTTTCGGTATTTTGAAAGTTTCTGCTACAGTTTTCAACCAAATTAGATGTAACTTGACAATTGGGGTTCTCGGTAGGTATACAAACCTTTGAAAGACCAAATATCGGCAGGTGCCGTTATAGGGGAGTATACCAATTGGTGGACCTATGTCAAATATTTCCAGAAGGGTGAATATACCTACCACCCTTCTGGAAATATTTGACATAGGTCCACCAATTGGTATACTCCCCTATAACGGCACCTGCCGATATTTGGTCTTTCAAAGGTTTGTGTCACAATTTCAAACCACCATCAACTTAAATTTAATAATCGAGGTTCTCAGTAGGTCTGTTCTCTCCTTGCCAAAAATGTTCGATTCAGGTCCACAAATTGGTATAGCCTCCGTACCTCGCGATTTGCCACAAATAACAACCAAATTCGATGAAACTTCACATTTGGGGTTCTCGGTAGGTCTGTTCTCTCCCTGCGAAAAATGTTCGATTCAGGTCCACTAATTGGTATAGCCCCCATATAACGGTACCTCCCGATTTTCGGTATTTTAAAGATTTCTTCCACAATTTCCAACCGAATCATCTGAAACTTGACACTTGGGATTCTTGAAGGTTTTGTTCCCTCCCTGCAACAAAATTTTAAATTCAGGTCCACTAATTGTTATAGCCCTCATATAACAGTGCCTTCCGATTTTCGGTATTTTGAAGATTTTCTTCCACAATTTTCAACCAAATCAGCTGAAACTTTATAATTGGGGTTCCTGGTAGATCTGTTCTCTTCATGCAAAAAATATTCGTTACACATTCACCAATTGGTATAGCTCCCCTATTAGGGTACCTCCCGATTTTTGGTACTTCAAAGGTTTCTACCACAATTTCCAACCAAATTAGATAAAACTTAACATTTGGGGTTCTTGAAGGGTCTGTTCCCTGCTTGCGAAAAATGTTCGATTCAGGCTCACTAATTGGTGTAGCCTTCATATAACGGTACTTCCCGATTTTCGATATTTTGAAGCTGTCTGCTATAATTTCCAACCAAATCAGCTGACACTTGACTTTTGGTGTTCTCTGTAGGTCTGTTCTCTCCTTGCAAAAATGTTCGATTCCCTATTTTCGGTATTTTGAAGGTTTCTGCCCAAAACCCCACCAAATTAGATAAATCTTGACAATTGAGTTTCTCGGTAGGTCCGCTCTATCCTGAATACGTTATTTGTTTTGTCGAAAATGTCAAATAAATGTCCACGTATAACATCCTCACTTGTTTCTCGAATATTTTCTTTCACAGTATTGGTGTACGCCTGGGCGAATATGATACATCAACAGAAGAGGATTGTATAAAATTGGGTCCAAGGTGGAGATGCAATCCCCCAGTGGAAGATATTGGTATAGAAAATATTGTAGCACATCCCGAATATAGCAAAAGTAAACATGTCAATGATATTTCCCTCATCAAGTTGGATCGAAATGTTGAATTCAAGAGTAAGTGAGAATTTGTGAGAATTTGAATTTATAACTCAATATTTTATTTATATTTCATATTTTCCCACAGAACACATTGAACCCATATGTCTGCCCATCTTTTCAAATTCTGTTCAAACTCAGCCTGAAGATCATTTTCTAATAGCTGGTTGGGGATTCACTGAAAAGGGTAAGTACGAAATATTAAAAATATGGTTCTGAAATATTATAAAATATTGAATTAATTTTTACATATCCTACAGGCAGTACATCAAATGTTCTACTCAAAGCCCCCGTCAAACAATTACCCGTATCGACATGCAGTCAGGAGTATTCGATTGAACTCAGCTTAACCCGACACTTGTGTGCCGGCGACGATGTACTCGGTCGTGATACATGCGGTGGTGATAGTGGTGGTCCATTGATACAATTTGTCCCCTACAATGGCAAAAGACGTTTCGTACAGTACGGAGTGGTGGCATCGGGTCGTTATGCTTGTATCCTGAAAACAACATTACCTGGTGTCTATACGAACGTTAGCAATTTTATGCCATGGATAACGCACAATATTGTTGTGTAAAATTTGGATTAATATAGTTTCTATTGATGATCGAATATTTTAAGGTATTAAATGTAAGAAAATAAATTTAAATGAAATAAAACAAGCAAGCAAAGGCTACAGTCGAGCGGGGCCGACCGTTGAATACCCTACAACACTATAATAAATGATACAGTTTATATAGGTGAGATACTCGAAAGAATTCCACAAGATATTGTGACAAATAATAAAAGAAAACCATCAGGTTTCGTTCTCTAATTTTCGAATAATAGCAACTTAAACTAATTTGCTCATTTCCAATTTATTGGTAGATGTTGCACGTAAATGGTCTTCTTAGATCTGGAACCAGTATTTCCCAAAGACCTATAATATCTCAGAAGTGGCAAAAGATTAACATTTATTATTGGTTTTTGAATGAAACGCATCAATATGAGATATAGACATTTGACTATATTCTTCAACGAAATCAGCGTTAACGAAATAGTCAGAATAGTAACGAATAGTCTTTCCTGTATTTGTGAATTTTCCAAAAAAGCCACTGGAATCGACATTTTCGTATTTTGTCTACAAAAGTTGGCAATCTATTTCACACATTGAATATTTTTGGACGGCCATTCAAATGTGCTTGAGGGCGATAATTATGGCCTGCTGACAATTTTGCAGTTTTTGGTCCATTTCAACCCCTAAATATATGGCGATCATCTCTAAAAAGAGTAGGCTTCTATTCTGACCCTCATCTTATCCTATGCAAAATTTCGTAAGGATCGGGCCATAAATGCGATCTGTACATGATATCCTGATATCCTGATATATAACTACTTAGTTTTGTTAGCTGTAGAAATATTACCAAATGTTTAATTCAAAATGAAAATATGCCAAAAATATGACAAAATTGAAAAAATATGAGAAAATATTACAAAATCAATATTTTCATCTTTAGAGAGATATTTTTATGCAATCTTTTAGACGTTGTTTCTTTCCTGCCAAGAGGCCATTCTGAATTAATGAGAACTGTCGAAATCAGTTCAGCCGTTCTCGACATATATCAGATCTTTCAAGCATATCTTGTTTGATAGACATATATATCGCACATATTTTGCTATATATCCGTTTTGTTGGATGTTAACATCAATGTAAAGATCAGAAGTAATCTTGTCATGGCTTTGTGATTTCGCCGGGATTTAAAATATTCGCGGTTTAAAGAAAATTTTTGAATTTTTTCAACACAAAAGATATGGTATATTTTACCCGCTAAATATTATCCGATGACCACCCAAATTGGTAGGCTTCTTCCCCGCCCTAAACTCTAGCTACATGCGAAATTCCGCGTCGATTGGTCTATAATTGCGACCTGTATAGCTACTGCAAAATCCGACATTTTTTCAGTATTTGGTCCATATCAACCCCTAAACATTTGGCGATCATCTCCAAAAGAAATAGGGTTCTATTCTGACCCCAGCCCCACCTCCATTCTAAATTTCGTGAAGATCGGACAATAATTGCGACCTGTAGAGTGATTACAAATTAACATGGACAGACGGACAGACGGACGGACGGACATACATAGCTAGATCGACTCAGCTCGGCGAGCTAGGAAGATCCATATATACTTTCCTATATGGGAAACCAATATTTCGAGGTGTTACATAAATTCTGGCCCAATCAAACTTATAATACCCCCAACACATAGTGTTGTAGGGTATAATTAAAACAAAGATTGAGTTGGTTTGACGGCCTATATATACCCTCAGCCTATGGCTGGCAAAAAAATCCTTGCAAAATATATTTATATAAAAAATCCTAACTCGTGGTGACAGAAGAACAAAAAAATCTTTTCATAAAAAATCTTGATATTTATCAGGAAGTTCTTTAAATGCAGCAATTATAGATTTGTGAAGAAAGGAATAAACAATTATATTTTTAGAAAATCCATAATTTTTGGGCTTTATAATTTAGCTTGAAAAAACAAGATTCTCTATGATTCAAAAAAAATTTCCCTTAAACTACAATTTTTTTTTTTTTCGAAAAATGATGAAGATTTTTCGAGAAAAATATTGCAAACATTTGCGAATGTTTTTTGTATTAGGCCCCTGAAACAAAGGTTTCTTTAAAGCCATGACGTTTGTCAGGAAATCATTGAAAATCTAGGTTTCTGAATGATAAAAATTTCAAATAGCTTACCCAGAAGACCTTCAAAAATTCACGTTTCTTAATAAGAAACCGTGTTTCGGAGGTCCTTGCAATGAAATGACCGAAAAAGCCACGATTTTCGGAAGTCCTTGAGCTCCAATTTCCAATTTTTTAAGTTTTTTTTTTTTGGAAAGAATTTCAGCTTTGTTCCTTCACCCAATAGCACTTAGTACTTTTCGAAAAATTGTAGTACATATTTCCAAAACTAGCACCAGATCTAAGCACCAGACACCAAAAGAGTCCTCAATATCAAATTTCGGGATTCCAGCCCCATCCCTTCAGCCAGTACCCAATATAGTACCACGTAGTACTTTTCGAACAATTCAAGTGCACATTTCCAAAACCACATGACCTTAACGTAATATTTGGGGATTACAACTCTATCTGTTCACAAAAGTCCAAATTTTACCAAATTTAGTACACATAAGTACGAATTTTCAAAACTTCCCATTACCCAATCAAATATTCCAAATTTCCAAAATCATACAATTGCATAGAAATCTCATTACCCAATCTCAGTAAATTGTAAATTGTAATACATATAAGTTTAAATTTGCAAAACTATCTACATATCCCAATCCTACACTCCGATAGTAATCTTATTTCCAATTTTCACACAAATCCAAATTGTGCCGAATCTAGTACACTTAAGTGCAAATTGTTATAACTACCTACATCAAACAGTCCAATAGAAATCCTCTTTTCGAATTTCAGGACTCCAACTCTACTGGTTCACCCACAATTTCAATTGTTCCACATTTAGTACCATTTAGTTCACATAAGTACGAATTTCCAAAACTACCTACATACCTTTGTTCTAGAAAGCAATAGTAATCTTATTTCCAAACTTCACCATTCCAAGTGGTTCGAAAAGTAAAGAAGCGACTTGATCGATCGGATCGTGAGCTGAACAAAATTGAAAAATGAGCTCGGGATAAAGCCATTGAAATTCCAAAAAGAAAGCAAAAACTTACACCGCTACAGAAAGAAAGTAGGCTCAAAAGCGTTATAAAGTTGCTTCGCTTGGCCGAAATTGGTGAACTGCCGAATTTTGTTTTCTCCGATGAGCAGTTTGTCCCGCAGTTTGTAAACAAACAATTTACTTGCGTATTTACTTGCCAAAGAGGTTAGCTGAAAATGTGCACCTTCGGTTGGCCACCAAAACTCAAGCACCGGCCGTAATCGACCGTGGCATCAGAAAAAATACCGAATATTATAGCGAAAGTATTCTGGAGGGTGTATTAAGGCCTTGGGCACGCAAACATTTTGGCCGCAGACCTTGGACATTCCATCAGGACTCAGCACCATCGCTTCAACTCCAGTGCACAATAACCACCAAAATCTCCGGATACCAACCCGTTGGACTATTGTATCTGGAGTATTTTGAACAGCAAGGTTGGCACTAAAAATACCAAAGTGACGATCACGTCAAGCAAGCGCTTCGCCGGGAATGGACCAAAATACCGAAAAGCAACATTCGGGCATCGTGTGACGGTTTCATTGGCCGTTTAAAGGCCACAATTCGTGCCAAAGGTGATCAATTCGAATAAATCTAAACTTATTCTAAAATTTGATGCTATTTCCGACATTTTTTGCTTTATTCAATAAAATTTTAAAAAAATTAAAGATTATGGCTTTTGACTTTGTTGCAGTTTTTTATCTCAATCTATATATGGATGCCACACCGAAATGTGGACCTATTTTTAATACCAAACATACGAGGGGTAATATAAATGTCTGAACAAAATTTCAAAGCGGAAGAATACTTTCCTGAATTCATCTCCGTTTTTTGAGAATCTTACCCCACTGTGCCTTGTTTTGAATTTTGTACTTAAGACCCTTGTAGTAGAAAATTGTTGTTGATATGACTCCCATATAACAGTTCCATCCACTTCATTGTATTTTGAAAACTTTAAATGTATTCTGCAACCGATCTCACTTGTTAAAGTGGAACACCCTACCTATACTTATTTTACTTTATTCTTTTCATTTTAAAAAGTAGTTTTGCTTAATAGTGTGGAGTATTGAACGTGATGTTTTTTATTCGTTTTTAATATTTTTGAGATCTTTCAAGTTATGTAAATCTTGGTTCGTTACATTTAAAATATATATTTCAAGGATATTAATAGGATTTTCTGTGGATTTTCAAAAATGTTAAATGTAATTTTTTAAAATATCCTTTAATAACTTCCCGCCGAAAATAGTCTTTCCTGGCAATAAATCGTGAATTTTTCAAGAATTTTCTTTTAAAGACTTTATGCCCAAATTTTGATTTGATTTTGTTAAAATATTGTCAGTGAGCAGCCCCACCAAAAAGACTTTTTTAAAGACCTGTTCGTGGATTATTATTGTTTGAATAATTTTTTATTTCCAAAAATTGATAATTTCGCCGATTTTATTTTTGAGGACTTTAAATCAATAAATTTTAAGAATTAACAGAATATGTTGAAAAAAATTGTGGTTTTTCTAAAAAAAGAAAAACACTGAAAATAGTCATGTCTATTATTTTTCAGAACAATTAAGAAGCTGTCACGGATTAAACAACTAAATTCCCTTAATAAAGCCCAATTAAAGCATGGAAAAACACTTTCCATATCGTATGTATATAGACACAATATTTCCACACAAATCTGTGACGTTTTGAAATTAACGAGGGTAACATCAACCCACCACCTATTATACAGACAGATACAGATTATAATAAAAGGCAGTTTTCATCAAAAGCTCTGTTCAATTGGATTCGGTAGTTTCAATTCACAGTCGTCAAATGGGTTTTACCAGATATCTTATTTTTTAGTTCTTTTTAGTTTTATTGTAGTTAAAGCTCGTAAGTTAATTTGCATTTTTATACCCTACAACACTATGTGTTGGGGGTATTATAAGTTTGATTGGCCCAAAAATTATGTAACACCTCGAAATATTGGTTTCCCACATAGGAAAGAATATATGGATCTTCCTAGCTCGCCGAGCTGAGTCGATCTAGCTATGTATGTCCGTCCGTCCGTCCGTCCGTCTGTCCGTCTGTCCGTCTGTCCGTCTGTCCATGTTAATTTGTAATCACTCTACAGGTCGCAATTATGGCCCGATCTTCACGAAATTCAGAATGGAGGTGGGTCTGGGGTCAGAATAGAACCCTATTTCTTTTGGAGATGATCGCCAAATGTTTAGGGGTTGAAATGGACCAAATACTGAAAAAATGTCGGATTTTGCAGTAGCTATACAGGTCGCAATTATAGACCAATCGACGCGGAATTTCGCATGTAGCTAGAGTTTAGGGCGGGGAAGAAGCCTACCAATTTGGGTGGTCATCGGATAATATTTGGCGGGTAAAATAGACCATATCTTTTGTGTTGAAAAAATTCAAAAATTTTCATTAAACCGCGAATATTTTAAATCCTGGCGAAATCACAAAGCCATCACAAGGTTACTTCTGATCTTTACATTGATGTTAACATCCAACAAAACGGATTTATAGCAAAATATGTGCGATATATACATTTATCAAAGAAGATATGCTTGAAAAATCTCTTATATGTCGAGAACGGCTGAACTGATTTCCACAGTTCTCATTAATTCAGAATGGCCTCTTGGCAGGAAAGAAAAAACGTCTAAAAAAATCTCATAAAAATAACTCTCTAAAGATGAAAATATTGATTTTGTAAAATTTTCTCATATTTTTTCAATTTTGTCATATTTTTGGCATATTTTCATTTTGAATTAAACATTTGGTAATATTTCTACAGCTAACAAAACTAAGTAGTTAGGATATCAGGATATCATATACAGATCGCATTTATGGCCCGATCCTTACGAGATTTTGCATGGAGATAAGATGAGGGTCAGAATAGAAGCCTACTCATTTTGGAGATGATCGCCATATATTTAGGGGTTGAAATGGACCAAAAAACTGCAAAATTGTCTGCAGGTCGTAATTATCGCCCGATTCTCACGCACATTTGAATGGGTGTTACCGGACATTACAAAAGCCAAGCAGTTTTGGATGGCCATCCAAAAATATTCAATGTGTGAAATAGTTTGCCAACTTTTGTAGACAAAATACGAAAATGTCCATTCCAATGACTTTTTGGAGAATTCACAAATACAGGAAAGACGCACTTCTGACTATTTCGTTAATGCTCATTTCGTTAAAGAATATAGTCAAATGTCTATATCTCATATTGATGCGTTTCATTCAAAAACCAATAATAAATGTTAATCTTTTGCCACTTCTGAGATATTATAGGTCTTTGGGAAATACTGGTTCCAGATCTAAGAAGACCATTTACGTGCAACATCTACCAATAAATTGGAAATGAGCAAATTAGTTTAAGTTGCTATTATTCGAAAATTAGAGAACGAAACCTGATGGTTTTCTTTTATTATTTGTCACAATATCTTGTGGAATTCTTTCGAGTATCTCGCCTATATAAACTGTATCGTTTATTATAGTGTTGTAGGGTATTCAACGGTCGGCCCCGCTCGACTGTAGCCTTTGCTTACTTGTTTTAATTGTGATTAAATTGAAACTAAAAATCGAATTTTTTATTGAACAGAAGAAGAATATAGACCATGTCGTACCCCACACAATGAAAGTGGACTCTGTGTTCCTTATACGGAGTGCTATATTCTACACGAATGGAATAAAAACTACGATGCATTGACGGTTTTTCGAGAGTATTTACTTCGTGCAGATTGTACCAGGAATCAGGATAAAACAGTAAGTATTTCAATGAGGATGAAGACAAAAGAAAATAATAACTCAGATAAAATGAGAGTTATTGTGTCAACTATGTATGGGATTTTTTTTTTGGGTATGGTTATACAGATTACTGTCGTTTCTAAGCCACTTGTTCGAAAGCTGTTAAAATGATTCCAGTGATAGCTCATTTTATTGTTTACAAGCATACAAAAGCATTTTGGTGAGAATTTTCCAAAAAAAGTTATTCGTGATGGAATTCAAGCGTGATAGTGAGATTTCTTCATATTTGGCTGGAAAACCACAACTGGCTATTGTTAGAGCACTCCAGCATTTAAATGTGAATAATTCTTTTGTGTCTCGTACCATCGCTCGTTACCGTGATACTGGGGTGGCGTAGTCCGACGTCAAGAAAGTGGATGGAAGAAAACAGCAACATCATTAGGAATGGTTCGAAAAGTAAAGAAGCGACTTGATCGAAACCCGCGTTGCAGTAGACGAAAAAATGGCTCCTGAGCTGAACATTCCATTCGGCATATATTTAAAAATGAGCTCGGGGTAAGGCCAAAGTGCAAGAACTTACGCCGCAACAGAAATAAAATAGACTCAAAAGAGTTAAAGAGTTGCTTCGCTTGGTCGAAAGTTGTGAACTGCGGAATTTGGTTACCTCCGATGAGAAAACATTCGTTGTATAACAGTTTGTAAACAAACAAAGTGATCGTGTTTACCTGCCAAAGAGATCAGCTGAAAATGTGCACCTTCGGTTGGCCACCAAAACTCAAGCGCCGGCCATGGTGGTGGTGTGGGCCGCCATAACAGCCAATGGTCGCTCTTCGCTCGTATTAATCGATCGATCAGAATAAATGAGGAATATTATCGCGAAAATATTCTGGAGGGTATATTAAAGCCTTGGGCACGCAAAGATTTTGGCCGGACTCAGCACCATCGCACTCAGCACGCATCACCCAAGAATGGTTACAAAACGAGGTTCCTCCCTTCATTTCCAGCTCACAATGGCCACCAAAATCTCCGGATACCAATCCGTTAGACTAATGTGTCTGGAGTATTTTGGAAAGCAAGGTTGGCACTAAAAAATACCCAAGTGTCTATCACCTCAAGCAAGCGCTTCGCCGGGAATAGGCCAAAATACCGCAGAGCAACATTGGGGCAGCGTGTGACGGTTTCATTTGCCGTTTGAAGGCCATAATTCATGCCAAAGGTGACCAATTCGAACAAATCTAAACTTGTTCTAAAATTTGATGTTATTTCCGACATTTATTGCATTATTTTAAATTTAAAAAATTATTTAAAAAATGCAAAAATTAAGACGTTTGACTTTGTTGCAGTTTTTTTTATCTCATCCTGTATATATCCTCTCTATCCATCTGCCTGAGGGTATACTAAATACTGCTATCCAAAGGACGTACAAGGTCCATCATCCACACCAAATATTAAACATTAACCTCGTATCGAAGGAGAAATTAACAAATTTTTAATTTTTAAAAAGCCTGTAGCCAATCATGGCCAAAAAATATATATAAATATATAAACATATGTTGTTTTTATAAAAACATCAATAAAGGGATTAAGTTTGACCATTTTGCAACATCAATATATTTAAACGTTTTATTTATTTATTTAATGATTATTTTATTTATTTATTTTATTTTTTTTATTTATTTTATTTATTTATTTATTAATTATTTTATTTATTTATTTTATTTTTTTTTATTTTTATTTATTTTATTTATTTATTAATTCATTTAATTACTAATATGTGTATGGTTTTTTATTTTCATTACATATTTTATTTTTATTTACTTAATCATTTATTTTAATTATTTTAATTTATTTAATTTACTCCCCGAACGATAATATTTAATTCTAGTCCCATTGGTGTTGTGAACCTGCAACTGTCTGGCGACCAACAACAGCAATAGTTAAACAAAGAATGCAAAATACCGAACATTTGTATTTAAATCCAATACCAGATTATCAAGGTCTATTGAACACAGCAGGTAATTTCAGCAAAAACTTCAATCCATACCCTGTAACTACATCGACTTTTGCCATATCTTATGTATGCAGGTTTTGATGTTCTATATCAAGAAGAGTGCAGCACAGGCACTGGAGATGCCATCGCCGATGACAATATTACAAGGTTGACCGAATTTCCATGGATGGCCCTATTGAAATATGACGGACCAGCAGGTGAAGAATTTCGTTGTGCTGGCTCATTGATAACGAATCGATTTATTTTGACAGCAGCCCATTGTGTGAATGCGATGGATCCAATGTAAGTATAAAGTCCAAGCAAAATAAAAGTTGGAGAAGTTTATTCAGACCTTGAATCAAGGTTGTTTGTGGCAAATTCTTTAATCAAATGTAATTGGTTATTCATTTCACAGCATTGGTGTACGACTTGGTGAACATGACACCTCGACCGTTGACGACTGCATGCAATTGGGCGCCATTTTCGAATGCAATCCACCGGTGGAAGATTTTCGTATAGAAAATATCCTTTCACATCCCGAGTACAGTAGAGAGGATCATATCAATGATATTGCCTTAATAAAACTAGATCGCAAGGTTCAATTTAAAAGTAAGTATTGGACTTCGAATACCATATGGATATTCATCAAGAGGGTTAAAATTTATTAATTTTTTATTCCCTTGTGGTATGGAGCTTGTATTAAGTTCGTCATTCCGTTTGTAGCTCAACGAAGTAATAATTTTAGACCTAAAAGAGTATATATTTTTTTAGTCCTGTCCGTCCGTCTGCCCGTCTGTTGTAATCACGCTACAGTCAAAACAAATTAAGATAGGAAGCTAAAATTTTCCACACATCAGTCTTTTGCCTACAGGTAGGTCAAGTTCGAAGATGGGCTATATCGGTCCACGATATCGTATAGCCTCCATACAACAGTACCCCCGATATTCGTTATTTTGATGATTGTAGCCACATTTTCAATGGAATTGTCAGAACTTTCCCCCCTGGAAGCCCCGATATTCAATGGATGGAATCCGCACAAGGCGTCCCTTCTGAGTACTTTACCCCCTGAAAGATAGTTGCCCACGTCGGTATTTTGATAATTTTAGCGACATTTTGGGGCTCAGAATCGGTACTACAGCCTATGACAAAAAAATGTTTACGGTAACGGTTTTCATTTGAGCGGCATTTTTCGATGGAATTTTTCAAATTCCTTCAAAGCGGTGAAGGGTATAAAAGTTCAGCCCGGTCGAACTTAGATGCTTTTTAACTTGTTATTCAATTTTTTATACCCTCCACCACAGTATGGATCAGCATAAAATTCTATGTTGATTCTATGTCCGTAAGTCTGTCCGTCTGTGGAAATCACTCTAGCTTCCGAACGGATTGAAGTAGATTAATAAAATTTTACTCAAATGTATATTATGTCTGCAGGACTTTTGGGTTTGAAAATGGGCCATGTAGGTCCACGTTTTGGTATAGCCCCCAAATAACAACAACAAAATTTATCGGAATAGTTTTTTGGTATTTGAAGTTCGTAATGGAGGATACAGCCTAAGACAGAAAATTGTCTGTGCAGCTCCACGTCTTCGTATAGCCCCCATATAACGGTACCTCCCGATATTCGGTATTTTGATGATTTTTGCAACAAAATTCATCGGAATTGTTTCAAATTTGGTATTTGAAGTTCGTAATGGATCCTACAGCCTATGACAGAAATTTGTCTGTGCAGTACCTCCCGATATTCGGTATTTTGATAATTTTAGCGATATTATTCACCGGAATTGTTTCAAATTAGGTATATGAAGTTCGTAATGGATACTACAGCCAAAGACAGAAAAATGTCTGTGCAGGTCCACGTCTTCGTATAGCTCCCATCTAACGGTACCTCCCGATATTCGGTATTATAATGATTTTAGGTACACTATTCACCTTTTTTTTGTTAAGTTTCGCATTTGAATATTGTAATGGCTTATGACAAAAGTTACCTATGCAGGTCCATTTCGTCGTATAGACCCTAATGTAACAGCTACATTCGGTATTTTAAAGATTTTAACAGAATTTTTAACCGATTTTTTTTTTTTTTTTTGAGAATTGCCAAATTCGTTCCAAATGGTGGAGAGTATTCAAATTTCTTCTCGACCGAACTTACAGCCTTTTTACTTGTTTTTCAGTTAATAAATAAATATTTTTTATTTCACAGAGCACATTAAACCTATATGCTTGCCCATTCATTTGTATACACCGACTGAAGATAATTTTTTCATAGCCGGTTGGGGTCACACCAAAAATGGTTAGTAAAAGAGTTATATTTTTGGTAACTTTCTAAAAATAAATATTCCCATTTTTACCACAGGTAATAAATCGGATATTCTTCTGAAAACACCAGTGAAACAACTACCTCTTTCGACATGCAGTGATAAATATTCTATTCAACTCAGCGATACTCGCCACTTATGTTTCGGAAAGGATATAGGGGGTCATAACGTATGCGCCGCAGATAGTGGTGGACCATTAATGCATTTTGGACCCTACAAAGGTCAAAAACGTTTCATACAATATGGGATAGTGGCAGCGGGAAGTAATGCTTGTAGCGCGACAGCAGCTTTGCCTGATATTTATTTATACGAATGTTAGCTTCTTTATGCCATGGATAACGCATACTATTGCTCTGCAAAACGAGTGAATAACAAGGATATGATAAGACGAGCCTCTTAAGGAATTATATGTAAAAAAAATATATATAAAAAGCGTAAAAAATGTAAAAATAAAAAGTATTGATCTGTTCCGAAAACCTGAAATTTTTCCAATATCATAAAAGAAAAGTCAATTATCGCAGTAAAAAAAAATTACATTCTTGAATTTCTGGAACAGAGCATATGATATGGGTTTAAAAATATATATGTGACAAAAAATATATGACAGATGGTAGTATAGGGTCATATAAAAAGTTACTTTATCGACGAAACTATCAGAAAAATATTTTATTTTCATTCTTGTATGCGTTATTGCATAAAAGTATTAATCCAACTTCGAAAATTTCTGTGTTGACTCGCTGTATTGTAAGATAAAAGTTCCAAAAGATATGGCCATAGTTCACCCATGTCCGAGCTTAATATTAAAAACTCAGCATTCCGAAGGTCGGACAAGCTAAGATACTTTTATTTTCTTGTTTATCTGGCAACAACAAAAAAGAACAAGGAAAGAAGCTCCAAGTTCGGCCGGGCCAAACTTTGAATACCCTCCACCATTTGGAACGAATTTGGCAATTCTCAAAAACAACAAAATCCGTTAAAAATTCTGCTTAAACCTTAAAAATACCGAATGTAGCTATTATATTAGGGTCCATACGACGACATGAACCTGCGTAGGTAACATTTGTCATAAGCCATTACAATATTCAAATGCGAATCTTAAAAAAATCGGTTATAATGTCAATAAAATCAAAATACCGAATATCGATAGGTACCGTTATATGGGGGCCATACGAAGACGTGGACCTGCACAGACAATTTTCTTTCATAGGATGTAGTATCCATTACGAACTTCAAATATCAAATTTGAAACAATTCTGGTGAAAAATGTCCCTAAAATCATTAAAATACCGAATATCGATAGGTACCGTTATATGGGGGCTTTACGAAGAGGTGGAGCTGCACAGACAATTTTCTGCCTTAGGCTGTAGTATATATTACGAACTTCAAACACCAAATTTGAAACAATTCCTGTAAATAGTGTCGCTAAAATCATCAAAAAACCGAATATTGGGAGGTACAGTTATATGGGGGCTATACGAAGACGTGGACCTGCACAGAAAATTTTGTGCCTTAGGCTGTTGTATCCATTTCGAACTCCAAATGCCAAATTTGAAACAATTCCTGTAAATAGTGTCGCTAAAATCATCAAAACACAGAATATCGGGAGGTACCGTTATATGGGGGCTATATGAAAACGTGGACCATTTACGAACTTAACCTGCCTACTGGCAAAATAAACATGAATACAAAATTTTAGCCTTCTATCTCAATTCGTTCGAAAGATGTGAAGAAAGAGTGATTACAACGGACAGACGGACAAACAGACACACAGACAGACCGACGGACATGTCTTAATCGTCTTAGAATTTTACGCTGATCAAGAATATATATACTTTGTTGGGTCTAAGATCATTATTTCGATGAGTTACAAACGGAATGACAAAATGAATATACCCTCCATAGTATGGTGGAGGGTATAAAAAGTTTGTACAAAAATGCACGTACTTTGTTAAAGAAGAATGCAAAAGTACTATACTCTTAATATATATATATATATATATATATATATATATATATATATATATACTCTTGAGGTAGATTTTAAAATTAAATGTCATTAAAAATTGACAACTGTCCACAAATAAGGCAAATGATATCTAAAATAGTACTAATTAAAAAAGGATGTCAATACAAGTGTGAGCTGTTTTTGTAACAAATACACCAGTGAACCATCTCAGAGAATAACATTATGGACATATATGTTCAAACTATTTCGGAGAGAGAGAAAAAATAGACAATATCCACATAGCGTATCACCCTTTATTTACAAATGTCCCTTTGATTTTGCGGCCTTAATGAGACACAATCAAAACTCACGTGTTACTATGAAATCAAGTCACCCGTATGGTTAATACAATAGAGAGCAATAGTTATTAACTCATGTTCGTGTAATACATTCAATTCTGTTATATATGTGTGGGTAGGACTTCATATTAAATTGACTGTCAACGACACATCACTAGTACTTAGTTCTTTAGTAGCACACTAAACTATTCGGCTTGTCAAGAAATAACAAATATCAGAAGAAAAGTCTATATAAGTCAAAGCTATAGCTTTTTCTCAATTGTAGATAGCACCAAATAAAATTACATTTTCTCCTACAAAAAATCGGCATATAGATTATTTATGGCCTAGACACAATTTTAGGTGGCAACCAGTTTAGTTGTTTTCTTTTCTGTGAAATATGTACAGGGTGAGATAAAAAAACTGCAACCAACTTTGACTGCTGTCAACTCTAAGCCACTCGTCCGACAGCTGTCAAAATTTTTGCAGTGACAGCTCATTATATTGCTTACAAGCGTACAAAAGCATTTTGGTGAGAATTTTCCAAAAAAAAAGTTATTCGTGATGGAATTCAGGCGTGGAGGTGTGATTTCTTTTTATTTGTCTCCACCGGCCAGCATTTAAATGTGAATAGATTTTTTGTGGCTGTACCATCGCTCGTTACCGTGATACTGGTAGCGTAGCCAGACGTCAAAGAAGTGGACGGAAGAAAACAGCAACATAAGTAGAAATGATTCGAAAAGTAAAGAAGCGACTTGATCGAAAAATGGCTCGTGAGCTGAACATATCGCAATATTCCATTCGGCAAATATAGTAAAATGAGCTCGGGGTAAAGCCATTGGAATCCAAATAAGTGCAAGAACTTACACCGCAACAGAAAGAAAATAGACTCAAAAGAGCTAAGCTAAGAGTTGCTTCGATTGGTCGAAAGTGGTGAACTGTCGAATTTGGTTTTCTCCGATGAGAAAACATTCGTTGTCCAGCAGTTTGTAAACAAACAAAATGATCGTGTTTACTTGCCAAAGAGGTCAGCTGAAAGTGTGCACCTTCGGTTGGCTACCAGAACTCAAGCGCCAGCCATGGTGATGGTGTGGGCTGCCATAACAGCCTTGGACATTCCAGCAGGACTCAGCACCCGCCACCCAAGAATGGTTATAAAATAAGGTTCCTCGCTTCATATCTAGTGCACAATGGCCACCAAAATCTCCGGATACCAATCCAATCCGTTGGACTATAGTGTCTGAAGTATTTTAGAAAGCAAAGTTGACACTAAAAAATATCAAAGTTTCGATCACCTCAAGCAAGCACTTCGTCGGGAATGGTCCAAAATACCCCAGAGCAACATTTGGGTAGCGTGTGACGGTTTTATTGGCCGTTTGAAGTCCATAATTCGTGTTAAAGGTGACCAATTCGAACAAATCTAAACTTATTCTAAAATTTGATGCTATTTCCGACATTTTTTGCGTTCATTCAATAACATTTTAAAAAATGTAAAAATTATGATAAAAATTATTAATTGTTGCAGTTTTTTATCTCATCTTGTATAGTCACAAATCGGAGCCCAATCTTGTGGTTTAGGTTTAATTATAAATAGTCTTTTCGTATCCATTTTAGTTGACGTTTTTGTCTTCCTAGAAAAATAAAAAATATAGGTTTATATCGAATTTTAATTATTCCTTCTTTTTTCTTCTGAAAAATAGTCAATATAGGTCTTCTTTATGGTTATGGAGACTCAATTTCGAAAATCACTTTTTTTTCGCAATCTTGTTTATTTCCGAGAAAATCTAGTCAACATTTAGTCCCCATAATTTAATTTTTCAATTATTTTAATTGACTTAGTAGTAAATTGGCGTCTAATTTATTTTATCATTTTTTGTGCAAAGAAAAAATCAATATATTTCCACGTTTGGTGTAAATGGCGCCCAACATAGATCCTCACAATTTAATTTACCTGTTATTTTCCTCTATATAAGTAGCCCTTGATATAAGGAAAGAAGTAAGATATACTGCTTTCCTTTAAAAAAAAATCACTATATTTCCAGGTTTGGTGTAGACCCATATTTAAATGGCGCCCAATTACTGCAACCAATCTTTATATTCCCGACCCATTTGTAGATGCAACAAAAATTTACATACCCGATAGTGTAGGTTTATGTTTCTAATCCCTATATTAAATGGCGCCCAAGATATTTGTTTACTTCCCTGGAACATTTATTGTATATCTTCTTTATATTGCGTCCAATTATAGTTATGTATCTTTAAATGTTGATGTTCATGTGTAAGTGGCGCCCAACATAGGTCCTCATAATTTAACTTACCTATTATTTTCCTTGATATAAGTAGTTATATACCTTACTGTTTTCCTTTAAAAAAATCAATATATTTCCAGGTTTGTTGTAGACCCATATTTAAATGGCGCCCAATTACTGTTTGTTGTAGACTGCAATTTCCGACCCATTTTTAAATGGCTCCCAAAATGTGCAACCAAACTTTATGTTTCTAATCCCTACATTAAATGGCGCCCAAGTTTCTTATCCAATAAATAGTATAAATGTTTTATAAATGAATTTTCCTTAGGAAAAAGAAATACTTCAGGCAAGTCCAATCGAACTTAATATTGGCTCAACTTTTATAAAAAAAAACTACTACTAAAAATTACTGAAATAATTAACTCCTAATAGAAATCATAAAACATGCGTGTGAAACACTAATTACAATTCATGTATGTAGCTCCTTTTACTAGTGGGTAGTCCGTAATTTCCCTAAATTTCTCATTACTGTGTTTTTGTGTTCCTGACCTAATAACGTTTTTGTTGTGCTAAGCGGTACGTTGACATTTTTTTTTTTGGACAATAACTGAAAACCAAAACATGGATACCAAAAAACAGTTGTGGAAATCAATTAAAACATTTGTTGAGCGAACGCTGGCGGAAAATGTCCTGGAAGGAAAAACTAAAAATTGTACCAAAAATGTAAGAAAAGCCCTATAAAAAATAAAAAAAAAAATAATATTTTCTAATTCTGGAATTCAGCGTTTTCTATATTACATTTGTGGGCATTGCAATGCCAATGTATTTGAATATCAGCACCGGATTATTGAATAATTTTCAAACAACAAAAATCTCCTTTAATTTGGATACTCTGTTGTAAGTACATATGTATGTGTATGTGTGTGGAAAATCCCAATGAATAAATTTCATTTGTTTCTATTACCAGCTTAAATTGGAATACCTCGTTTCCGGCTGTGACCATATGCGAACTTTACAATGGTGAAAAAATATGGGATTTGAGTGAAAAATATTTTGGTGTTGACCACGATTTGCGGTTGGACGATGTGGTTGGTGAAATCGTTTATTTCCAAGGCAGTTGCACATCGTGTGATGCATGTGACAATCAAAATATAACATGTCCACGGAATTTTACACGATTGCTGTCAATGGTAAGGTTTACCTTTAATGTACAGTGAAGCATCAAAAACCAGTCATCAAAAGCTATAGTTTAAAAATAAAATAACATAATTTTGACATGGAAAATCTTCAAAATCGAAATCTGTGTGTAAAGCCAGAAAGATAGGGACATTCCACTTTTCCTTGCTCCCTTTTTATACAATTTTATTTGCCTTTCGAGTAGTTATTTCTGTGAGAATATCTAATTGATTGAGTATTCCTTAATTAGAGGTTCCCTCACAGGAGACGGCTGGTTTGAGAGGATTCATTGTACATTTTTGTTACAATTTGTAATACATTTATATTTTCTTATTTCATTTAGTTTCGCAGCAACTGTTCGGAATTAATAGGAAATTGTAAATACAACAACAATTTTATTGAATGCTGTGACCATTTTCAACCTCTGCGCACTGAATATGGGCTATGTTTTGCCTTTAACTCTAATCAAGCTAAGTAAGTATTTATACTCTACAGTCTGATACAAGATATAGAAGGAATAGACCGTGAGCTACTTTTGAAGGCCTTAAAATAATATTGAGTCGATAACAATAATATAAGGTTTAAATAATAACTCCACCACCACCACCTTAAAATTTAATATTCGTTCCAATAGTTCGTGTTAGGACTTTTTATACCCTCCAGCATACATAGTATGGAAGGTATACTAATTTCATCGAAATAATATTTTTAGACTTAACAAATTTATTACTTATTTATCAGCGTTAAATTCTAAGACGATTAAGACGATAAAGTACACAAGGTGTACTTTATGAGTACTTTCTGCATGGAAGAGAATTCTGTATACAGGTCCACAATATCGCTGGCTCCGTGATATTCAGTATTTTGATGACTTTAGCGACATTTTTACCCCAAATGTTTCAATTTTCGTATTTAAAATTTCTAATGGTTCTACAGCCTCTGATACTTCAAAAATTGTATATGTCGTATAACCCCCATATAACAATACCCCGGATACTCGGTATTTTCATGATTTTAGGGACATTATTCACCGGAATTGTGTCAAATTTCGTATTTGAAGCTACTAATGGATACTACTACCTATAATGACAAATTGACTATATAGGTCCACGTCTTCATACATACACACATAACCTCGCTTTATTCGGTATTTTGATGATTTTTGACCGAAATTGTTTAAATTCGTATGACTGGCTGTAGTACCCTATGACAAAAAATTATTTTTGCAGGACCACGTCTTCGTATAGCCCCCACATAACGGTTTTTCTTTGAGCGGTATTTTTCGAAGGTATTTTTGAAAAATTTTCAATTGCGGCCCGGACGAATTTAGCTACATTTTTACTTGTTAGTTCTCAAAATCCACGATTAGTACTAAATTTTCAGACTTTCAAGGATTTATATATTATTCAAGTTTTCCCTTTTTCGGAAAGCATAATAGCAAAATGTTTACATTTTACACCAAGAAGAGTACGGAGGAGGTTATTAGTAAAGCCATTGTACAATGGACCCATATCCATTTTTTCTGTCCATAACTATTTCAACGTCTCCATAGGTATCAAATTTCAGAATTTCAACTCTAGGAATAAAAAGTACTTTTCGTGCCTCATCGAAATAACTGTTTAAAACCCTAGGTCTCTTTGGACGTTTCAGGAAATTTGCAGTCGATTTGGGGTGTCCGTCCGTCTTTTCGGCTGGTGCGCACGATAAATCTCGAAGGGAGTATCCAATTTGGTCCAAACTTGGTACATCGTAATATTATTATCAAACTTAGATCGAGAACGGAGATGTATAATATCGGTCCACTCCTTCTGGTACCTCCCTTACAAAAGGTCAGTGAGGGAGGTCCCTCAGTGTTAAGTCAGGAACTTTAGTGGTTTGAAGATATATTAGAATATAAATCCATTTTTATACCCTACACCACAAAGTGGTCGGGGTATTATGTCTTTGTGCATTTGTTTGTAACAGGCAAAAGGAAACGAGATAGACCCATAGTTCCTTTTGATGATCGGCATAGAATCACATTTTGAGTCGATTTATGCATGTCCGTCCGTCCGTCTGTCCATGTATTTTTGTAAACAAAGTACAGTTCGCATTTATTGCCCGATCCAGATGAAATGTTGCACAAATCATTTGTTTGGCCCAAGGACGAACCCTATTGAAATTGGAGATAATCGGTCAAAATTTAGATATAGCTCCCATATATATCTTCGTCCGATTTGCTTTTTATTGTGCACCAAACGTGTAATATCAGCCCGAATAGTATGGAATTTTGCACATACAACCAAATTAGGACTGAAAATAAGTATGCCAAATTTGATCGAAATCGGTTCAGATATAGCTCCAATATATATTGTTCATCCGATTTGCTATTTTTGTCCTCCGCAGCCGTAATACGCACTCTGTAACAACAATATTTGGGGAAATATATCAAATACAGCTCAGAAATACCTTTTCTAGATTTTATCGAATTTCATGGTTTCAGCTCCATCCCATTACCCAATACCAAATTTAGTAACATTTTGTACGCATATCCGAACAAACTGAATCTCTCCATATTAGACACCAACAGTGATCCAAAATTAACTCCATTTAGTACTTTTCGAATTTTTATAATACACATTTCCAAAAACCACCTCCATATCTTAATTCCAGATACCAATAGAAATCTCAATATCAAATTTGAGAATTTCAGCCCTATGCCTACACTCAATACCAAATTTAGTACAAATTTAGGAAACCATATCTCAAACATAGATACCATCAGTCTAAGTCTAAATCACTTGATCCAATATCAAATATAGTACCATTCAGTACTTTTCGTACAGTTATAGAACACATTTCCGGAACCACCTCTAAATCTCAACCTCAGATACTAACAGATATCATATCAAATTTCACAATTTTTTCTTTAATTTCAAATTTCTAAATCCGCTAAATCCATTCCGCATTCCGTACCTCTTGGTATTTTAGGGCCCGTTTTAGTTTAAACTTTAAAAATTTTAAATTTTTAAAAATGCATTCCTATGTTGTACTTTAACAGTGACCTTCATTTCGAAAGCATTCATATTTTATCAATTCCTTTTCTTATTTTCTGTTTTTTTTTAATTACAGTAAAATTGCCGAAACTCAATACATTAACAATCGCGAAGTTGGTGCGGGGTTCTTGACATTTGAAGTAACAGCTGATATCCAGCTATTTCTACACTCGCCTTTCGAAATACCATTCCTTACGGCCGAAGGTATGATACGCGAAACAGTGCTACAAGGTCTGAACAAAGAAGTCGTTATAAATGCCATGGAAGTCTTTAATCATCCGAGTTTGGATAACATTGATATGGAGGAGCGAAAGTGTCGCTTCTTTAGTGAACTCACTGAGTTGGGGAGACACCTAAAGCTTTACAGTTTTTATAGTTTCTCAACATGTGTGGTGGAGTGTGCCTTCTCGATACATTTGAAATTCTGCAATTGCAGTAATCACTTTTTGGCCAAGGAAGGTATGTGAGAGGAAAAAATATAAAATATTTGAAATTTGTATAAATGTTTTTTTTTTCAGGATCTCCCCATTATCACATGTGTGATTACGAAGGCCTTATGTGTCTAACGGATTATTATTATGATATATTGGAAGAACGTCGCCAATGCGATTGCATGAGTCCTTGTGAGGAACCGGAATATAATATTATATTTAATTCTGCAGAGGAGTATGTTAGTTCAATATTTATAATCAGAATCAATAATAAATGTTTATTTCTTTTCTAAGAAATAAAAAGAAAAAGACAGACTTCACCAAAATTCGAGTGGGCCTGGCGGAATTGCCTACTCTGCGCTATGTGAGGAAAGTTTCAAAATCAAATTTGGATTTATTAAGTAAGTAAATACTTTCAATACCTAGAAAAATAAAATTTATTTTCAGCTAAAACATTTTAATTGATAGATAAAAAACATAATTTCAATACCCTAAATAATGGCATTAATACATGGGTATCCATTTTCCAAACCATTCTTGCCAAATAATAGTTGAGACAATTATTATATAGTACTTTAAAATAGTAGAAAAGATAATCTACCATAGCCATTGAGTTTGGCACCTATTAAAAAGTCTATCTATTTTTGATTTTTATGTTTAAATTTATATTTAAGGTAGGCGATATAATGTAATTAATCTATTTTGTATTTCAGTTTCCCTTGGTGGACTGGCTGGTCTATTTTTCAATGTCTCTCTAATACGCATTGTTGAGGTGATATTTCTCCTATGGGACTTTAAGTGGAGAGCAATAAGGAATCTCTTGAAGTAGTAAATTAACATAGGTTTAATATAGTATAAATTAATTACAAACAAATATATTTTTGTACAATTTTATTACTACTCTAAAAAGTTTTGAATTAATTTATTTTCTGCATGAAACTGATTTTATAAATAGTTTATTTAATATAATGCAATTCTATTGCCCTTTCGTTTAGAACATATAGAAATCGTTTAGAACGTAAGAAATCTTCTCCTAAGATAAGAACCCGAAATATGAAATTGCTGCTAATTCAAATGGAAAGAAGAGGTAAAACTTTTAAATACCAATATCAAAACTTAAAAACTTTATCTCAAATATGTACCGAATATCATATCAACTGATGGTCCAGCGGAGGCAGCCAAGTTGACTAAGACTATGGCTTACTTCAATTAATGGAGTGTCCGAGGAATATTTTGTGGTGCAAAAGGAATATTAAAACAAGTAAAATAATATCAGTCGGGTTTGTCGACAGATGTATACCCCCAGCCTAGAGTTATGATTATTCAAATTGTTGCCCTTTATGGGGGAGGTTCCGAAGCAGTTGGGCTATTCGTATCTGACCTAAAACTGATATAAATATTAAAAAGTGCCAGATTTGGACTATATTAACTTCTTCCTATACTTTATATGAGATATGTGTAAATTCTTGGAAAATGTGGAAATATGCATGGGGTAACAGATATAGTCGACCGAAGTATTCCATATTCATACTTCATCTAATACAGATAAAAATACTAGCATGTGAAAAATTTGAAGGAAATCGATTCAATTTTTGCGAAATTATAAATTTCGATAAATAACATATTCATATCTGATTTCCGGTTAAGAGAAATATTTAGATATAGTAAGTTGTAAAGAATTGCCGACTTGTTTCGCAAGTTATAACAGATGTTAATATTGGAAATTCTGACACTTCGTGGGTTAGGTACCAGAAGGTGTTTGCAGATATATATTGCCTTTACAACAGATATTTGGATGTGTGAAATTTGGAGAGAGTTGGATGCTTATTTCGCTTTCTTTGAGCGTTTTGTTTTTCAAATATCTTAAACCTACGTGGGGGAGATATCAGAAGAAATGGTCCGATCTGTACCATCTCTAAAACAGATCTTGTTTTCATGGAAAAATTAAAATGTGCCAAGTCTGAATGCAATCGGAGCTTCATGAATATTCAAAATTTTGACCCTTTGGCGGGGAGGTACCAGAAAGAGTGGACCGATATAGTTCATTGTCGAACTCGATCTAAGATTTGCAATAATATTACGATGTACCAAGTTTGGATCAAATCGGATACTCCCTTCGAGAGTTGTCGTGCGCACCAGCCAACCAGACGGACGGACGGACATTGCTAAATCGACTCCAAATGTCCTGAAACGGATTTCGTCCTATAAGACCTAGGGTCTAAAACCGATATTTCGATGAGGTACTTTTGGCCGTATCAAATGATATTTACCCTCTCTAGCCACATATATACCCTCTCTATACCATCTTTAAAGACACACAATCCGAAGGGAGGAATTAGTAGAGTTTGCAGTCAGAGTTCCGACCGCATAATTATGCCTACTGCCAATGGTACACCTGTGTTAGTTAATCGCCTTAACCGATTTCCTATCCTTGACATTAATGGCCGAACTGTATACTTGTTTATAACAGGGATCCGCAACAAGTAGTAGATTTATTTTATATGCTGCCGTGGTTTAAAGGCTATGATATGTTGGAGTCTGTTGCTTACTGCCTGTTACAGTCATGGAAGGAACACTCACAAGGCATAAGACAAGAACCTTGTCAATCCTGGACGCTTAACGGTTGTACAAGGCAAAAGGTGTTGGAGCAGATCTAAAAAAATAATACCCGACAGTACTCATTGCTCATACTCATTGCACCTCTAATTGTTTCAACTCCAAGGAGTCATGTCACGAAGTGGTCATAAAAAGTCGGCATATATTTGCAGACGAGATTCTGATCAACATGAACTTGAAGGTTGTTTTCAGACTCGAATAGAATCACCCACAGTTGCTTTGAACGCTTTTTAATTACCATACTTACATACCAACCCTGCTTTGGACCATTCTCCCATAGAGCAATATATTTAGACGCTGATTGAACGGGGTATCTTGAAAAAACCCAGTGAAAGGAAGGCTGGAAAATAGTTCACAGTCAGTTTCTGCCACTTAATTTTTGAATCGAATTGAAATCTCTTCTTCATATGCCACTGTAAAAAGCAGGTTCACTGATATGCCACTCCAAGATCAAACAGCAGTATGAAAAATCAGATTTATATGCCATTTACTTCCATTATTTCTATCGTCAGTCAGAAGACGTCCATAATCAGCTTTTGTGTTTAATGGAAAATTCTCTGCTGGCATTTCTGATGATTGAGGAAAGAAACTCCGATGGATCGGCCATGTATACCCGTCTGATTTGCTTTATGAAATCGTTGAAAGCGATTAAGTTACGCATAAGGCTTTTGCTGCTTTCCTAAAGATTGCAGGTAATATAATCCAATATCACGCCTCCTTCCCCAACACAGAGGCAGCGCAATAACTTAATCTTGTCGAGCTCATTAAATTTCCTTACCTATAAAAGAAAAGTTATTCAAATCTTTGTTAAATTTCAATTCCATTATTCTCTCTCGTTACCTTTCTTAAATATCGACAAGCTTCATTAAAATTCAATGGAAAGTTACGAATTTCCAAAATTTGCACAAAATTGGGATCTTCTTGAATGTAAAATACATAATTTCTAAAAGACTTGGCTATTCTGGGAGATGCCAGTCAATTCCTTAGTAAAACTAGGCGGGAAAATTGTCAGTTTTCATCATATTCAATTTCGTCTTAATAGTCTTTTATTTTTGCTAGAATTTCAAGTAAAAATTACAATTCTCAAATAATATTTTTTTTTAATAAATTACAATATATCAATAGCACACACATCAATTAAATACGTACACATAACGTCAATCGAAAATTTACAGTAATCAAACAATTGCTATTATCTTAAATATCAATTTTAATGGCATTCAACAATGCTTTGAGCTTATTGGACATTATACCTATTATTTTCAAAATATTTGTTTAACAACCTTGCCTTTTAAAGATTCAATTCATATAACAATCTCTTTCTTATAGAAACTTAAAAATATTGAAAATATTGATGATTAAAAATAAAGTCACTTGTGGAAATTGAAGTGGCCGCTGCTGCTGCATTATTTCCCTGCATATCATTCCGAGCCATCGAGTGCCACGATTGCATTTGGAGATTACAACAAACACAAAGTGTCATTCGTTCTTAACTTATACTAATTTTCTCTGCCTGCAATATGGGAGCGGCATATGATGCTGCAGGTCCCGTCGCTGATATGCCACCCTGTTGCGATTGTTGTTGTTGTGGCGTTATGAACTGTAGGAAAGTTTCAATGTACGAGGGCAAATAGAAGTAACTAGAAAATATCACCAAAGATAGAATGATTGCGACAAAGCCATCTAGAAAACACAAGTGGGGAATAGATAGGGGAATTGCGTTTTAATAACAAATGTAAATATTGAAAACCTTGTTTTCCATACTTATCAATTTCTTCTCCCATGGCTCGAACATGTAAATATTGGTAACCAGTTCATATTGGAGGTAAAGATTAATCAAAGATTTCTTCAGAAATTGTAACATTTTCCCTTTGTTTATTGTTGATGTGTCCACCCTAGAACTTCCGTTGTTGTTGCCTTCTTTTGTTTTCACAAATAACTTTATAAACTTACTAACTTTATAACGACGCTTTGTATATAAAAAACAGCCACCTTATCAGCTATAGTAGGGATTGGTAAGTCGACTTCCGATTAATCGGATAATCGACCTTTAGTACTCTAAGTTATAAAACTCGAACTCGACTATGGACTTGGGTGAAAAACGAGTATTCATAGTCGATTTTAAATTGCTGTTCAACTTATGGTCTGTTCCAGCACAGCAAGAATGTAAAAGCTTTTACTATGATCACGATTTTCCCTTTATGATATCGAAAAAATTGCAATCCCTGCAGGTTCTGGAACAGCTGTGACTGAGTTGTTTGTTGGAAACCAAAATGAAAGTCGTCCCCAACGCCGAAAAGGAATACTTGATAAAAAATTAACAGAAAGCAAAAGCCCCATAGGAACCTCTGATGTTTACGAATGAGACATGAGGAAAACTGAAACACATTCACTAAAAGAGCGCGGAACTAGCACAAAATTTGAAACATTTTTGAACAAAAAAAGGGAAAGATAAAAATAATGTAAGGTGGTTTACACACCATTGAACAAAACAGTGCAGGCACTTGGATTGGGCGGGAGTGTAGGGGTTTTCCCATATTTACTTTGAACATTTAACTTTGTTTTTTAATTGAAACTATGTAGCCTTAGGTTTTGGTTTATACATATTTTGAATTCATGTAATACACATTTTTTCATTCTTAAAAATATTTTCAACTAACGAAGTTGGTTTTTTTTATTAAAATAAATAATTATTAATATTTTTATAATAAATTGTGTTTTAACCACAATTTGGTGACCCCGATAATTGAAATGGCTGAAGAAAACGTTCGCACATCGCAGTCAGGAGGAGATACGCATTTAATTGGGGATTCTCATCCCTCGAATTCAATGCACATTTTTGCTGCTAGAATTGCAAAACTGCCCCCATTTTGGCGTGAGGAGCCCGAAATTTGGTTCTTACAAGTCGAATCCAGCTTCAATTTAAATGGAATTACGCAAGATTCTACTAAATATGAATATCTGATTAGTCATCTGGACCCATCAATTTTGTTTGTATTGAAGGATATCGTGATAAATCCACCATCAACTGGAAGATACGCAGCAATGAAAGCTAGAATAATCAAACATTTCGCTGAATCAGATGAGTCGCAGTTGAAGAAATTGCTGAGCGGTTTGGAATTAGGTGATCAAAAGCCGTCACATCTTCTACATAGAATGAAATCTCTTGCTGGCACCAGGGTAAGCAATGAAATTATGCGCACGTTGTTTATGGACCGTCTTCCAGAAAATGTTAAATGCATCCTCGCTGTAACCGATACCATGGACTTAGATAATCTATCTGGTATAGCAGACAAAATTTACGAACAATTTTCAGCATCAACAACAATTTCCGAAATTTCTTCAAATAATAAAACTAACCAAGATTCATCCGGGTTGGATGGTAAGTTGAATGAAATTATTCATCGAATTGATGCGCTCGAACGGCGCTCCCGTCAACACCAAGCGAAACAAATTGTGCAAGTCCCACGAGCTCGATCTAAATCTAGAAGCCGTAAAGACTCGGGTTTGTGTTGGTATCATTGGCGATTTGCTGATAAAGCATCAAAATGCGTTCAACCATGTAAGTTTCAATTATCAAAAAACTAGTAAAACCATCGTGTGACAGTTCGGCGTCTCTCGGCGATGGTAGTAATAATCGTTTATTTATTACTGAACGCCGTACTAAAATAAAATACTTGATTGATTCTGGAGCTGACATTTCAATTTTTCCATGCAAATCCTCAAAAAACCCTTCAAAGCTAGTTTTATATGCTGCCAACAATACTCCTATCTCAACGTTTGGTGAGAAACTTATTGTTCTCGATTTGGGTTTAAGAAGAGAATTTAAATGGGTATTCATTTTGGCCGATGTACCCAAACCAATCATTGGTGCCGATTTTTTAAAATTCTTTCATTTATTGCCAGATCTTCAAAGAAAATGCTTAGTCGATGGGAACACTTTTTTGAATTCACCACTATCAAGCTTGGGTTGCTCTAATATTCAAATAAAAATGGTTACAGATGAAAGCAAATATCACGAAATTGTAAAACAATATCCTGAATTACTTTCGCATAACCTTAACAAAATAGATGTCCAACACCAAGTGTTACATCAAATTACTACTAACGGAAACCCAGTTAAGGCAAGGCCCCGAAGATTAGATCCTGAGAAATTAGCTGCTGCAAAGGTTGAGTTTCAGTATCTTATGGAAAAAGGTATTATTCGTCCCAGTAATAGTAATTGGTCCAATCCATTACATATGGTCCGCAAATCGGATGGTTCTTGGCGTCCTTGTGGGGACTATAGGGCACTGAACAAAATAACTGTCCCAGATAGTTACCCTATACCATACCTTAACGATTTTTCCATGTTATTATCTGGTTCCACTGTATTTTCAAAATTTGACTTGCTGAAAGCTTATTACCAGATACCAGTAAATCAAGCGGACATTCCAAAAACTGCTGTCATAACTCCGTTTGGTCTGTTCGAATTCTTAAGAATGCCATTCGGGTTATGTAACGCGGCGCAGACTTTTCAGCGTTTTATGGATGAAGTTGTTAGAGGCCTTGATTTCGTCGTAGTATATCTGGATGATGTGCTAGTTTTCTCCAAATCTGAAGAAGAACATTTGGAACATATTAAGCAGCTATTGGAACGTTTTAAGAAGTACGGCATTATTATAAATGCCGGTAAGTGTGAACTTGGTGTGAACGAAATTGATTTTTTAGGCCATACAATATCATATAAAGGCGTCAGTCCAATGAAGAAAAAGGTTGAAGCAGTTCTGAGTTACAATCAACCATCAACAATCCATTCACTTCGTCAATTTTTGGCACTAATCAATTTTTATCGGAAGTTTTTACCAAAAGGAGCCGAAACACAGGCGCCTCTGAATAGTTTATTGATCGGTGCAAAAAAGAAGGATATGCGTCCAGTTCCATGGACTAACGAAACCCGGGAAGCCTTCATTAAATGTAAACAGGAGTTAGCCGATGCAACTACTTTGTCTTTTCCTTTGCCGAACGCAACAATAGGCCTTAAAGTCGATGCGAGTTCTTTTGGAATGGGTGCTGTGCTTGAACAAAATGTAAACGGTTCATGGCAACCATTGGGATTTTTCTCTAAAAAACTAAATGACGCTCAGAAGAAGTATAGTACTTATGATCGAGAATTATTAGCCATATATTCCGCTATCAAGTACTTTCGACATTTACTTGAGGGAAGGCCATTTAAAATATTCACGGATCATAAGCCTCTCATTTACGCATTCCATCAAAATTTGGACAAGGCCTCACCTCGGCAATGCCGTCATCTGGATTATATAGCGCAGTTTTCCACTGATATTAACCACATCGCTGGAAAAGAGAATATAGTAGCTGATTCTCTTTCAAGAATAGAAGAAATCAGTACGAAAGGAATAGATTATAGCAAATTGTGTCAACAACAGCAGCAAGACATAGAAATTAAGGAATTAATTAATAAGGATGGACCTTATTCAATTAAGTTGCTAAATTTTCCATTGGGGAATTATCAAATATATTGTGATGTTTCTCAAGGAACTATACGACCTTATATTCCATCTACTTTTAGAAAAGATGTCTTCAATGCAGTACATAATTTATCTCATGGTGGTATTCGGACAACGAGAAAGATGATATCGCAACGATTTTTTTGGCCATCCATGAATAAGGATGTTGGCAATATGGTTCGAAGCTGTTTACCATGTCAACGCAATAAAATTGACAGACATACTTCGAGTCCAACTATGAATATTCCAATTGAAAGCAGCCGTTTTTCAGAGGTACACATAGACATAGTTGGACCATTACCACAATCTGAGGGTAATACATACTTGTTAACGTGTATGGATCGTTTTACTCGATGGCCAGAAGCATTTCCGATCCCTGATATTAGGGCGGAAACAATTTGCAAAACATTTTGGAACGGATGGATATGTAGATTTGGTTGTCCGAATGCTTTAATTTCAGATAGAGGAAGCCAATTTTTATCTAGTCTTATGAAACAATTAACAACATCACTCGGTATACAACATCGTTTTTCAACATCTTATCACCCTCAAAGTAACGGGTTGCTGGAGAGATTCCACAGGACATTAAAGGCGGGTCTACGATGCTCTGAAAACAATCAATGGACAGTTTCACTTTATCCAGTACTACTCGGAATACGTGCTAGTTACAAAGAAGATTTAAAAGCATCGGTTGCAGAATTGGTCTATGGTCAATCCCTCAAAATACCAGGAGATTTCTTCACAGTTCCGAAATTTGAAGATCCTAGTTCCCTAGTAACCACTCTTCGGAAATCCATGTGTGATTTGCAGCCAACACCAACATCAATGCATTCGAACAACAAACCTTTTATTAGCAAGAACCTCTTAACATGCACTCATGTTTGGATTCGAGTTGATGCAAAAACAAAATCTTTAGGACAGAAATACACCGGCCCATATGAAATCTGCAAACGAACCCCGAAATATTTCCAAGTTAAGATAAACGACAAATTGCAAAACGTTTCCATAAACCGACTTAAAGCAGTATATACTGAATATGATATATAATTGGTTTGCTAAATTTAGTTTAAATTCAGGGGGGAGTGTTGTAGGGGTTTTCCCATATTTACTTTGAACATTTAACTTTGTTTTTTAATTGAAACTATGTAGCCTTAGGTTTTGGTTTATACATATTTTGAATTCATGTAATACACATTTTTTCATTCTTAAAAATATTTTCAACTAACGAAGTTGGTTTTTTTTATTAAAATGAATAATTATTAATATTTTTATAATAAATTGTGTTTTAACCACAGGGAGTTACAGTGAAAATGCTTGGTACACTCTTGATTTAATTGTACCAAGCATTTTCCATGTAACTCCTCATTTCAAATTATAATGCCCAACTCTGCATTTTTCTTTAATTTATCTTGTCAAATTTCACTGCATAGAAAATAGGTTCCCATCACTGATTTTTGTTGTTGCAAAATGGTCAGGCTTTATCCCTTTATTGTTGTTTGTATAAAAACAACGTTTGTTTATTAGTGGAGAACGATGGTAATGTTTACCAGGGGGTAAGGCAGGGAA